AACCCGGAATTGAATGCGATAGTAAAAAAAAGGAGGCAAAAAAGAGTTAGGGTTAGGAACTTACACTCCGTATAGGGCAGGCTCCACCAGGATCCTCAGTGTCAGGTGGCCCGTGCTCAATTCCGTCTGGGGTACACGCGTATTTATTTTTAGTCGATTGATATTTCAGGGAAACAAAGAGAGTGAGAAAAAAAAAAGGTAAGTTAATTAGAGGTCTAAGATAAATTTCTCTGATTGATTAATTGATTGATTGATGAGTGATGTATCTAACTACCAAGGTATGTACATGCATGGCCTGATTGATCATAAAATCCACTTATGAAATGTATATTTTTTTTCTATTCATTCACTAGCTCTATATCATCATCAAGTACGATATTTCTTATTAGCGCGATTGATACCTTCTTCTGGACCGTGCCCATATGTAACATATATTGATGTATATATTCAGCTCTTGTTGGTTTCGGCATTGACAGGCGTAACTTCCAATGAAGGCGTGTTCGTCAAAGCTTCGGTATCTCCCTCTTCCTGTGCTTGCTGTAGCCGATATCTGTGCAAGAGTATCAGTCAGTCAGACGTCTAAGATCGAGGCTGCAGGGATAGAGAGATAAATAGGTATCACCCACTTCTGCGCCTTCTCTCGATTATCCAGGTAGCGAACAACAAAAGCCGTGATGATGAGCAGCACAGATAGGCATGTCACCGTGATGTAGCCTTTTCGGTATTGCGGCGCGTCGATCTGCTGCCACACGATCAGAGGCAGCCAGGCTTGGAAGACGTAGGCGATCTCATTCATCGAGCCGACGGTAATGGCGCGTTCTTCGTTGTCGTCGGCGCAGATTTCGTGGGACCAACTTGTCGCACATGTCTCAGAATAATTGAAAATGAAAAAAAAAAAAGAGGAAAGCGCGATTAACGTACGCCATGATCAGCCCACTGAGTCCATAGCCTGCACCAGCGAGGATGAAACAGGTCCATTTCCAACCGACGGGGATATCCCACACAGCGAGAGAGACGTAGCATATTATGTTCATAACCTAGACCCGGGTGAATATGTCAATATAACTGAACATGAAGAAGGAAAGGATAAGACAACTGTCTTACACCTCCAAACACAAGAGGCGGCCAGCGCCGTCCTCCAAGTACAGTATCCGAAAGCCCTGGAGACGCAGTCAGCGACTAACTAAGTCTTCCAAACGGAACTGAATGGGACTTACAAGCATAAGCCAGAGTTGTGACGATTTGAACTACCGACGTCAATGTCGGATAGGTATTAATCTGGCCAACAGAGTATTTAGGATTGGTGGAATCTTTGAGATACCTGTACGATAGTGTCGGTAATCAAACCCAATGGTGTATATTCCACATGAAAGCTTACTGTTGAAACACCGGCTGTGAGCCAGCTGCACCATTGTTGAAGCACCTGTGGAGATTTGCTTCAAGTCAGCTTCATCCATACGTTCTTTTGCCGCAGGTGCATACACATATAACAGCGTCAGGAGATAGATATGCCACGAGGAAAAGATCTTCTTGAGTTTTGCCACGGTGTACGGCCCTCGAGGCTTTCTGCCTTCGAACTCCATGCGTTTCTGAGCGAGGGCGACCTCCTTGGTACAACCAATCATTCAGCACAAGACCCTTATCAGACAACTGGCTGTAGAATCTTACCGTCTTCGACAAATACCATGGATTCGCGATCTCAGGGACATCCGGCAAAACAAAGAATCCCGCAACAGCTATCGGAAGTGAGATAATCCCATCAACAAGGAACAACCTGTGAAAAAGAAATCGTTGAATAAGCTTCTCTCCCCATCTTGCAAACAGTCGGTAGTTTATTACCATTGCCAGCCCTTAAAACCTCCCACACCACCAAGATGATAAACAGCAGCCATCAGATAACCCGAAATCATCGTGCCGATCGCCGAACTTGTGTGGAAGATACAGGATCTCTTCGCCAACTCGTCCTTTCGATACCAGCATCCAATCAAATACTGCATTCCGGGGTAGAAGGTACTTTCTGCTAGACCTGCGGTGGCGAGAGTAGAATGATCAGTTTTACTGTCGAAAAAGAATGACGACAAATAAGGTCTAAGGCTGTAACTTACCGATAAAGAATCGAAGAATGTAGAATTGTGCTGCGGTATTACATCTCGAGAGGGAAAAGGTCAGGACGGACCAGATGACCTAGATGGAGCACAAGTTAGTTAAAAAAAAGAAAGAGACAGAGAGAGAAAAAAAGAATAATAGGATGAAAAAAAATAAAAATAAAAAAAATAAAGGAATGGCTAGAAGGAATAAAAAAAGATTTATAAACACCCAAGAAATGCGAAGTACTCCGCGGATTTACCTCCATCGCTGGAATCCAATATCGAGGCCGCACGCGGGTCAGGAAGATATTGCTCGGAATCTCTCCAATGACGTATCCAATTGTCCAACATGTTTGCATATAATTAAGCTGATTCTCATAAAGGCCGAGATCTTCTTTCCTGCTCGAATTGTTATTCTGTTAAACGAAAGGGAAAAAAAATAAAAATAAAGAAGAGAGAAGGACAAGTGCTTACATTCCCGATACGAAGGCATTGCTGACATTTACTTGATCTAGATATTTCAAGAAATATCCTAAAACCAAACAATAAATACACACAATGTCAGTCGAAGTCAACCCAGTGCGACGAAGATTAATAATAAACGAGAGGAAACATACCCAAGGAAGCGAAGGTGAGAATCGCCGTGTCCAGCTTGAACAGCAATCGCCGCTCTTCAGGGCTCTTGTCGAACGTATCCCACAGGTAGCTCACCCATGTTTGCTTGACTTCTTTTTGGATAATAACTTCTGAGCCCTCGGATGCTGCTTCGTTGGCCAGCCGTTCTGCAGGAGTGGAGGAGGCCATCGTGAGTTGACCGTCCGCGAAATCGGATGTCAGGTTTGGAAATTCTTATCGTCAAAATGAAGAACGTCGTCTAAATTATTTTTTTTTCGAATGATGGAGATCCCAGGTCGCATAGACAGTATAAGCTCGTACGGATACAAGCTCCTCACGGAGATCCGATCAGGACTTGGAAGAATTTAGCTCCAGCCCAATGATGACCCGTGAGGGGACGAACAATCCTAACGGTAATAGATAATCGTAATCGTGCGGGGCATATCAACAATAGTAGCATTGTTGGAAGCTCATCATTGACAGCTACGCTGGCGCAATCCGACTGAGATCTTAGCCGGCAGCATTAGGATGGATTCATATTTTCGACATGCAGGTGCATGCGACTCATGGAGGGACCCACTTCCCCAAGGAAAAGCTATCAAGAGAGACCTGCATGTTTGGAGGTGCCTGTGCTGCGATCGAGGACGCACTTTAATGGAGGATTGCGGAGCTCGTCATGGCGAGCAGCGATGACGTGCAAGCCAACATGATCAAGACCAGCATCGTATTGGTTTTGGCTTTGTAAACAGCGCCATGCAGGCAAGCCTGCAGGGAGTATTAACAAAAACAGATGATAACTTGTCAGATATCTTCAGTTCAGCGATTTGCATTCGTTGAAACAATAAAGCTTATCTTATGCTACCTACGCAGCAGCATAGCAATATGGGCATCGATAGGCTGACACTTGCTCTGTACATATACAAGGACAATCGAGAAGGTTACGCTTAACAATTATTATCATACTTGCGGCCAATCCACGTGTGTTTTCGTTCGTACATCGTATGGCAAGTCTATCAAGCTTATTTACGTCTAGTTTACCAACGTTCAGGTTCCTAGGTTAGTTTTCACGTAATGACCCAAGTGCTTATAATAATGCAATTAATCTGCAGTTTTATCGCAACTGGCACTCTGTCAACAGACTATTGACCGTCTTATATATATATATATATATTTTCAAACCCAATGATGCCAGGCGATTCCATTCCGATACGTCAGCGGAACCTGCGGTCCCTCCGCCTCGACGATATACCCGGATTCGCAGCGGTCGTAGGAAACCTTGACCTGCTGGCTGTAGAAGTCATCGAACTTCTTGTTCAGGGCGTCGTGGAGGCTCTGCACGTCACCCTCTGGGTGGAGTACTTCCCATGGCTTGACGCAGGTAATCCCCTGGCACGACTTGAGAACCAGGAGAAGTGCGTCGAGACGGTTGATGACCTGAGTCCTGGGGTAGCCCAGGATCGTGACTTTGTCGTCTCCATCAATATCACTCGTTGGGTAAATGTTGTCGAGCTCGTAAGGGTCGATCTGGAGTTGCTGCGATGAGTGCATATCCAGCAAGTCTCTGGAGGTGTAGTCCTACCGTCAAATCGTAGAGCTCATGTTCGCCGCTGCACCAGACAGAGTAGTAAAGGTCGTAGCCGCTTCCGTGGATGCGGAGTCCCTTGTATGTGTTGTTTGTAATAATAGGAGGGTTGTCGGGTCCTGAATGACGATTAGCGTCGATAAAGGAATTTGGATGCACAAACTCGCTCCAACGCCGCTACCTACCGAGATAATTATACTCGCCCTCGGGAAGTGCAATGCCCCAGAATTCCACGTTCGCATGCTCATGGCGAGTGGCTCTAGAATTGCGTGTAAGCGGAACCGGCACGCCATCAAAATCCTCTCGCTGTTTGATGCCTGCGATTTGGAACACCGTCGGCGCGAGATCAATATGCGTGGTCACCGTCTCCTCAGTGTAGTCTGCAGCCACACCAGGACCACGGATAAAAAGTGGGACACGGATATCCTCCTCAAATCCGCACTCCTTGCCAGGTTGCAGGCGGTGTTGGCCAATATGATACCCATTGTCGGAGGTATATATAATATAGGTGTTGTCTAAGATTCCAGCATCTGCAAGACGAGTCACGACCTTGTCGACCAGCTCGTCAACCCCTTGCAATGCTCGCAGACGAGAGCGGTAGAAGTGGTCGTTGTAGTCGACATTACTCCGGTTCTGTTTCGGCAACCGGCTGATCCAGTTCACGCCGCTGGGCTATATTCGCGGGTCAGAAAAGAATTGTGCAAATAACGCAATTGGAAGCTTACAGTGTCCGGATTAAAGTGTTCTGTCCTTGGAACCTTCACATCTTGGAATAGATGCTTATGCCTATCTGCCGGGATTGGCTCAGTCATCTTAATGATGGACTTCTCGCTGGTCTTGAATGACGGATCCACATTGGAATGGGGAGCTACGGGGGCAATGCCCAGGAAGAAAGGCTGCTGCGTGGCGATGGCATCATCCAGAAAACCAAGTGCTTTCTCCGTGGTTACATCTACCGTGTGGCGGCCTTCGTAGCTCACTGGAGGGTCGTGATTTCGCTGGTAGGTGGCGTTGAGATAGGAATACGTGTAGGGATCGAGCAGGAAGTCGGATCCGTTGAATCCAGCAACGTATGGGGCATTGTAGTTGTCCACGGTGTGTGCATTGAACAACTTGCCCACGTAGTATGTTTGATATCCAGCGCTCTGCAGCCAGACTGGAAGGAAATTGGAATTGAATCCTCTTTCCACGAATTTCGGATATCCACCTGCGGCAATGATAAGACAAAGGCGACAGAACAATCGGGGGTAAAAGTTGCTAACCGTATGGCGGGCTAACGTCGGTCACATTGGTATTGTGCGCGAATCGCCCAGTCCACAGACTGACGCGCGCTGGACAGCAGATGGCCGTGGGCACAAAGTGGTTCTTATAGAAGGTGCCGCCTTTCTTCAGATGCTTTGTGGTCAGGGGCATATACGACAGCGAATCCAATTGGAGGTCCTGGTCATCGGTCAGGATAAACACAATGTTCGGACGCTCCTTGGCTGAATTGAGGGTCAATTTTGGGTCCAATGGTTGCTGGAGCTGCGGATTATACGATGCTTGACATGTGGCGAGCAGCCCCGCGAGGGCGCTCAGCGCAAGCGAGATGGCTTTCATGGCGTCGGGGCTGATGCCATGATTCGTAGCTATAGAATTGCTGGCAGAGTTGAGCTTGGATGGATGAAGCTATCAATGGACGTATTCTTAACAGTTCAACAGCAGCAAAGCTGTGGAGAAGAAGCAGACGCGATGACGTCGGGCCGCGGCCAGATGATGCGATTCGGCGCTTTTCCCGGATAGGCAAGACTCTGCGTCACCTACTGTTGTGCAGTTCACAACTCATTTTATTTATTTTATTTTATTATATTAGTATTAAATTCATTAGCTTAATACTTGTGCCTGTCCTGCAACTTGCCAAAAGCAATATTTGATCACTGGGACATATTGTCTGGAAGAGGTCATCAGTTGCCTGGAAAATCTCTTCGGATAGCTGCATATGGACGTAAAACAATTGACTGCAATGTTTTCAATTGCGGCGAGGGATGTTTGGAGACATGATATGCTGTTCGTATAAGCAGTCTGATCTCACTGACATCAAGCTATCTTATCAAAAACAAGCGGCTGGCTCCTCGCTCTACATGAAGCAAGGCGGAGATACATCAGAGCTAACACTGATTCATAGATTTCAATACTGGAAATGTGACCAAACTCTGGATATTATATTCATGAAATAGACACCTATCAACATTTAAATCCACATTCGCCAACTGTTTACTTGACAGATGGAATCAAATACGTCGTCCGTGTCACGAGAACAGCATCCTCATACTGTGTCTTTCCTATACCCACACTTCCAAGGAGAAGATTCAGATTCGGATTCACTCCGTGGAACTGCCTGCACCATCTTATTAAACCCAGCTGCGTCCAGCGGCTCGACGCCGGTTGTGTTCGGTCCATCTTCTGATAACGTTGGACATCGCGCGTCCGAAACCCCTCGAAGACAAAAATGAGCACCGCAATGAGTTCGGGCAGAAAGCTGAGCACGACGCGAATGGCCAGCGAGCCAGTCACTGGGTTCAAGTCTGCCTTTTGCGTGCTCTCCGCGACGAGGCCGTACAGGACCCGGATTCCAATGAAAACGAGAGACACCAGGACAGCGCACAGGAGCTGGAGAGATGGAGATGTTAGTATATACAGATCTTTTGTTTAAATGCTCTGCTTCGCAAACGGCGGTTTACCCTTGTGCCCTCAGTATGGGCTGGAGCATCCTGTCGGTGCTGAGAGGGTAACAGCGCTATCAGGGTCGCAAGCACCAGTGTCGCCCAGCAGGCCTCGAGCAAAGCCATTCCGACTTTTATCAGTGTCAGATCATTAGGATTCGCATCGTTGCCTGCCAGAGCGGAAGCCCCCGTGCCGACCAGAGCAACTCCGGTGGCGACCAGCACGTGGATGAAAGCGATGAAGGTCCATTCCAACCGTTTGTTGAGTTCCGGATTGCGATACGTTTTCCTGCGAGAGATGGAATCTTTTAGCGACTGTATGTGTTCTTTGTCAGAGCCGAGAAAGAACATACGCCTCGTGTAGAATTCCATCCACTGTCAGCAAGAGCGGCGAAATGCCGACACTGGAGATGATATCCGCGCCCGATCTGCTGCTATTCCCAGTAGACATGGCACCGCCGACAATGCGGAGTGTGCAGAACGCGAATAGGTAACCCCAGCCCAAGAAACCTGGCGAGCCATGACGATACAGGAGGTAGAGGACGGGCAGACTGAGGACGGCGTAAATGGCGAGCTGGGCGGTAAAAAGGGCAGTCATTCTTGAAGTGCTGATAGCGGATTCCTTCTTGTTTCTGTTGCAGCCTTTCTGGTATCCGGAAGTACAACATAATGGAGGAGACGATGAGAAACAAGACTCTTATAACAAGATGAATGGAAAAATTAAAGGAAAGGCATCTTCAGTAAAAGGGAAAAAAGAAATAGAATAACAGTTGCAGAGGACCTAAATAGGCAATATTTCTACTCGACTTTCCACTGCGTCTAAGTACTACTTCCATACGCTGGCGATCGACGCTAATAAACGATACCGAGAATCCCTGTCGACAGCGTCAGATACGGTTCCAGGCAGCAGTCAACAGTCGATCAGTTTAGCTCGCTCGTTCACTGGTATAATGTCTCGAAATGAAGCTTGTCGATCATTGACAGCACTCAACCGAGTATAAGCCTTTTTGAAGGGAATTGTGGCGGTGACTAGGAGATGCAACGGCAACGTCAACTAGGCATCCGCATTATTTCCTCCACAACTGAACCGGACGGCCACACAATTGAGAACTACTCCGTAGAAGTGAGAACTAGAAGTGTGGCTGTGTGAATGATATTGGACCGGGAGGAATCCCCAAAAGGGAGAAGTATGATGATTATCATTGCTGGCAGACGGACAATCAGCGATCATAAAATATCGCCATCTCTCTTATCTCACGTTTGATTGTGAAGAATTTCAAACAATCATGTCGTTGTTACATTTTAACAACGTATAGATTAGTCTGTTGATAATTCGGAGAATTATACTCGACAGGTGGATTCCATTGTGATTGCCATGTTGAATTGATCACCTTGGTATAATTCCCAGGAATTCAGCACAGCCAGAATAAGGCATTTGTTTGAATGACCAAACACTTAACACCCAACAAGTCCTCACAGACGAGTCCCCATTGGAGAGAAGGCCAAGCTATTGAGGCTTCTCAGCAGAAGTTGCCGCTAGATGATCAGCGATATCTGTAAATTAAGATGAACTTACTCATTGAAAACACTACTGAAACAATAATAAACAAGCCATTCGTGACACTATATATATATAATTAAGTCCGCCAAGTTTCGATCTCTTTAAATCCATGCTGCATCAACTCTTTCTCATCAGCAGCCAATGGCTGCCCTAATATACCGGGCCAGGGTCATCATGGGGAAATAATGACGGTAGAGAGTGTGACTGATGTAGAAATGGTTCAGGAATCCCGTCCCCGTGTATTCGGTCTCGGGCCAGGAATCCCCCTCGCCACAGAAGTCGGTCTGTGCCCGGGCCAGATGCGAGATACCAGAGGTGATAGCATCGTTGTCTGGCGGGCACGTTGTCAATAGGCCCATCAGCTCCCAGGCTGTTTGCGATGGCGTCGATGGCCCGCAACCGGCTCGCCAGGGCTCCTTGTACGTGAGCAGGCTTTCTCCCCATCCTCCGTCGGCATTCTTGACTCGTTTCATCCAGCTCGTTGTGGAAGATACCATGGCCTGAATCTGTGGGTACCCCTTCGTAAAATAGGACAGTCCGTAGAGGACATTGCATGTGCCATAGAGGTAGTTTGCGCCCCAGCGGCCGTATCAAGCCCCGGTGGCTTCCTGCATATGTTCCAGGTATGCAATTGCGCGGGCACAAGCTGATATGACGCGCTGAAGTACGTCTTCAGCAACGGGCTCTTGCTGCGCTTTCTGCCTCAGCAGACCAAAAGCTTCCAAGATGCGTCCGGTCACATCGGGGCTGGAAGGATCGCAGAGACTGTTATAGTACTAAACCTAAATAGGAAATCAAGGGAACAAATAAATTCTAATTCTCCTACTATCTATAGGTCAAAGAGCAACTATATATAGGCTTATAGAGACTTGGATTCAGGGGCAAAATAAGGGTGATTCCAGGAGCAAATCCCAATATTGCCAGGAGCACTATACTGGTGGTGAGCAGAAGGAATTTCTGACCAATCAGATCTCTCATATGGTTGACAGTATTTTTGTAGAGCTAGAACTCCGGGTGATAGAGGAACAAAGCTGGTGGCAAAGCAGGCTGACAGCTGACAGCCGGTCATGTGAGGAAACTCTAGCTGGAAAATGTTAGGTCCTAACAAGCCTCAACAGACAACAATTTGAGTACAAATTCATATAAAGACACTCTAATTGTCCCTTAAAAGGTGTTGTATGCGACTTCGTTTTGGGCAGCAAACAGATCAAAAAAAAGTGAGCGTATTCTCAGCCAAAGGTCTTCTGGTATCGCTCAAGTCAAAATAAAAGCATGCACTGACTCTAGCCGAATTAGAACCACTTCTTTAATAGCGTTATGTGCGAGACCATATTACCAAATCCGGTATTTGGGACGAGACTTTATGGCATCCCTCTTTTTCGAGTCTTCACACGAACTGCGCGATCGAGCCTTAGTGATTCGGAGTATGTGGTGGACCGAGATCGCTTCTGAAGTTCCCCGCACAAGGCTGAACCAGGACAGGAAATCTCTATGAACCCACGATCAGAGCTCAGCAATTTCTGCACGGGGTTATTTTCTGTGGCCAACCACAGAGGGAAAACATGGAGCTGCGGAAATCTACAGGGAACACGTTGCAAGCATCCAAGCCCTCTTGGGTTAGACAGCCTCTGCCGAACATTTCTTTCCGGTATAGACCTATCCAAATCGACGCCACAGTCGAGGACACAGAATACTGGAAAAAGCTAAATGTGATCACGAAAGAGGACATGTTCTCAGCCTCGCTTGCGTTTCCTCGCGGTTCTACATTTATATACGATGACAGGGAAAAGCTGCTGATTATGGCCCTGTTGGAGCACTTGTGAAGTAGTAAGAATCATACCAGGGCATTGCATCTCTAGAAGACAGCTTGAGGAGACGATATTGAACGGTATTTTTAATAAGGTGGCCTCAGGTCTGCAGATCTCAGTATGTCAAATAAATAATCTGATCCACCAACTAATGAAACTGCAGCGAAGTTATTCGCAACCAGAAATGATCCGAATTCCGGGGAGGCGACAGCCTCAAGTGTCAGCCACCAAGGCATTTCGGGATGACATCGATCTGGAAACTGGTCGCCAGTTGCGTCCGACATACGCTGTTCCACGCCGTGACGACAGATCGCCCCGGCGTCGATCACGTAGCCGAACCAGACTAGGAGACTTGCGTTTCTCAAGACGGCTGGCCGAAGGGGAATCCCTTATTTGGTCACCCCAGATCCCCCCAAGAAACATCCAAAGGAAACTGCCAAGGCTTTCATGGTCCATTTGGCGACGTTGGAGCGAATGAATTTGCACCAGCTGCAATATGACCTTATGGGTGTGGTGCACGAAATAATCACTAACAACGATGCACGTCCCGATCAGATGGAATTGGCAAGGAAACTTCTTTCCGAGTATGGTATGTAATATTTTTAAGGCCTGCATTCCGGTAACTGAGAGTCTTTCAGTATCAGCAATACGCGACTTCGACTTCATGACCGAGAAGCAGATGAAAGCAGAGCAAAACGGCACTCCAGATCCTTTCCAGATTACAACGAAAGACCTGTTGGGCTATTATCTCATGAATGACACGGAGCACTGCCTGTTGAATGATTCTCGCTGCCAGGGGAAAGTGTCTCGGCCCAGCGAACAACACTGGAAGAGCGACAAATATATATACAACATTCTTCCTGGCTTTTCACGAGGCGAATACAACACTCGAATCGACCTGGCCAATTTCTGGGAGAGGATTACCATGGGTCTGCTCGGTGGATTGGCACTGATTGGGCCCATGCTGTTAATGGTCTTGCACAAGGATCTGCTTACTACTCTGGTTACGGCAAGCGTGTCGACCATTTTGTTTGCAGTCGCCCTTTCGTTCTTTACCCAGTTGCAGGGTCAGACCGTCTTGGCTTCTGTTGCAGCTTATGCAGCTGTATTGGTGGTTTTTGTTGGCTCGAATTCATAAATGTAGTTGATAGACGGGTAGGACGGAGGCATTATTTCAATTATGGAGACAGTTGGATTGCGATGCGTGACGTATGCAAAGAGAGGTTTTGACCGGCGTCTTTCGAAATGACGCTTCTGTCATATAGTAACCAAATGAATAAGATTCTTGAGATTTCTACGTTGACATCTGTAAACAGGCCACTGTACCAAGCCAAAGCATATCTAGTCGAGTTGAGCCAATAAGATCACTAGCTGCCATTATATTAAGTATAAAAGAAGCCAGATATAGTTTAGAGCATGTTAGGAATAATAAGAGCATGTCTCGGCCATAGAATAGGCAATCTAGATTTGTAATATTATTTAGCAATAGATAAGAGGCAAAATATAAGCTTTAGCATTATGCCATTACTTGGGTAAATATCAGTCACTACTGTACTTCTTCACAAACCAATTGCTGAAGCTCGACAACGGTCAAGTCCATATCTTGTATATTATCTAAACTAAATCTAAAAAAACAAAGTACTTTACGAGCACTGAGATTAGCAAGGCAAGAGTTAGTAAATTATCTAGCATTTTTACTAAATAACCAAGGGAAAGGTCAATAGTTAAAGCTCTGGGCCCCCTAGTTATAGAAATAACTGTCCCCAGCAAGAATTAAAAAAAAAAGACAATAGATTCTGGACCAATACAAAATCAGACAACATGGGCAGACAGAATAGAATATGAAACTTGTCTGCTCTCAATGATTGAAGCAAGCCTTGTCGAGAAACGAGCTTTGTTGTAACCGCATTCAAATTTCCACTTCTAGATTGTTGTAAACACAGAAATTCCATGCTATTGGCAGATAGAATCATCACTATTATCCCAATTTCTCGCTGTATTCATCAAATCATCAAATTCAAGTCTGTAACGAAATTTAGACGTTCGATATTTCCTTCATATGAATTCTGTGCTTTTATTAATGCAGTGATTGTTGTCTGCGCACTGTATCAAGCTCGTCGGCCATTTATTTATTTACTTCTTTCACTTTTAAGACTAATTAACATCTTCGACAACGTTACTAGCCAACATAATATATAATATATATAATAGAGCATAAAAATAGGGAGATGCATTCAAGGGAAAAAAAATTCTCCAGTTGATAACATTACAGGAAATATTACCTCTTAAGGTAAACTAAGCTAGATAAGTATATATAGCTTAATATCGCATGCAGTTAGTACTCCAGTCACGGAGTAAATGAGTGTGTATTTGGAGGCTGCCAGCCAAACGATGACGTTGGAACGCGACGAAATGATGCGATTCCACGCTTTCCCCGGATAGGCAAGGAAGCTTACTCCATCCACCTTGACCGCTGCCCTAAGTACGGAATTAAGTCAATTTTATTTCGTTAGTTATTATCATTCTTGACTAAATTATACGGAGTACAGCTACTATCTGTCATCAAAGCGGAAATGCAATTAACCCTCTGTGGTGGCTGTCTGCGATTCGACCGCACCATCTACCCGGCACATGGCGTGCACGCGATCATATCAATTCGATCTTTTAGTCCGATCTGTGGCTGACTCTTCCGAAAACAATAATGCATGCTCCGTTTAGGTACTCCCCCACCGGTAGCTGTCTGCCCGGATGATGGCGTGCTTGGCCTTGGATAGATACATGTATGTACTCCGTATCGGGGCTCCACATATCAATCAACTCGGCTAGAATGTGCCGAACAAGGAGTACCTCCATAGCTGGTAAGATAACCCACTCTGCACGGCTGACAGACGCCCAGCTGAGAAAAAAAAAGAATCAACAGCTCCTCTAGCCTAGTCTTTGTTCTCCGAACTCTCCGATGGCAGAAGCAGACCCAACGGTAGCACAAAGAGGTTGGATGTTCATTGGTCCGTGATGCGATGCGAGGCTCCGCATAAGCAGTCAGCCTTAAATAAAAAGATTTCATTCAAAGACGCCGTATTTTCCCTTCTGATAACGGTCATAAAAATCAGCCTGATCAGATCCTGAAAATGGCGGAGGCGGAGTCAGTCGATGAGTCCAGTCCTCTCAGTGCCTCCTCCGTGTCATCGTCGTACGGGACAACAACAGACGATAGTCACGATACAACAACCACCGTAGAAACCGATACAGAGAGGGCGGTAACAGCGACAAACGACGACAACAAAGTGCGTCTCTCCTCCAATGTGTGGAGTATAATCTCTGTTCTGTTACTAGGTAGAGCTCCTCGATGCGCGTAGGTTTCTACGAGAGGTATATCTGACGGCTCTTTTTATTTTAGGAGAGTTCATCGCAAATGCAGATACCAGCCTTGTATTTGCCTCTAATGCACGCATCTCCTCCGAGTTCGGGGAACTTCAAAATGCGAATTGGTTGTCTACGGCGTATGGCCTGGGACTCTGCGCTGTGCAGCCGATGGTGAGTTTGTTTCAGTCGTCTGAGTGAAACACACATTGCTGACAACATCTAGTACGGCAAGCTAAGCGATATATATGGCCGCAAGTTGATCCTCCTGGTCGCGTACTCTTTATTCGCGGCCGGATGTATCATATGGTATGCTCATGAAAACCCATATACTATTGTAGATCGCCAAATTAACACAATCTCAGCGGTGTAGCAGGTCAAATGTGGCAGGTCATTCTAGGTCGTGCAGTCACCGGAGTAGGAGGAGCAGGAATGGTGACCTTGGCTTCTGTTATCATCACTGGTGAGCAGTACACAAACCAGTCTCATTCCTTCTCGTCTGACATATTGGCACAGATCTGGTCCCTAAAAGGGAAGTCGCACAATGGCGAGCCTATGTGAATATCTCAATGACTTTGGGCCGCAGTTTGGGAGGACCCCTAGGCGGGTTCCTGACGGATTCGATAGGGTGGCGATGGTGTGTACATACGTCGAATCACCACTTTCGATACCCTTGCTGATGAATGACAGGTTATTTCTCATCCAAGCACCCCTGATCGGCATTGCTGCACTTCTCGTAGTCACGAGGCTGAGCATCACACATGTCCAGCCATCTACTACTGTAGTAGATGAAGAAGATGATCCGAAATCAAAGCTTGGACGCATTGACTTTGCAGGGATCCTGTTCCTGTCCACGTCCGTCATCTCCGGCATGCTGCTGCTGGACCTCGGAGGGCAGAAATTCCCTTGGCTGTCTATATACACCGTTGGCCTGGCCGTATCGGCTGTCGCCCTCTTCGTCGCGTTTGTCCTCACAGAGGTCTACATCGCCCGGGAACCCATCTTCGCCCTGCACATCCTCCGCCAACCCAACGTCGCGGCAAGCTACCTCGTCATGACGCTCCAGATCGTCTCCCAGGTCGGCATGATGTACACGATCCCGCTGTACTTCCAGATCACGGCGCGGAGCTCCGCGACGGTGGCGGGCGCGCACCTCGTTCCAGCCGTCGTCGGCAACGCCCTCGCAGGCCTCGTGGCCGGGGCGACAATCAAGCAAACGGGGCGGTACAAGTCTCTGATTGTGAGCGCCGGCCTCATCGCGTCTGTAACATACATCCTACTCTTCCTCCGCTGGAACGGCGCGACCAACTTCTGGGAATCGCTGTACATCCTGCCCGGCGGAATCGGCACGGGGATCGCGCAGGCCGGATCCTTTGTAAGCATGACATCCAAGCTTCAGCCGCAGGACATCGCCATGGCGACGGGGGGTTTCTTCCTCTGCACGAGCGTTGGCGTGTCGACGGGGATCACGGGGTACAATGCTGCGATAGAGCTGGAGTTTGGTAGGAGGCTCCGGCAGAAACTGACGGGGAAGGGCGCGGAGAAGGTCCGTCTGCCTCATCTGATACCAAGGTTGATTTGAGATACGAGCTGACACGAAATTATCGACATGACAGATAATCAACCGCGTCCTCTCCGACGCATCCTACATCAAGAGTCTGCACGGACCCGTCCGCGACATAGTCGTGTCGTCGTATATCGCTGGTCTGAAACATACGTACTGTAAGCAACCCGTCTCTGTACAACACTCTCAAAAGTAGAAGAATGAGAAGCATTCAACTAATCATAAATAATACTAATCATAAATAAATGAACAGTAATATCACTAACCTGCTCGCTCCTTGCATCGGCCATCGCTTTGACGATTCGGAATCATCAGCTTTAATTAGAAAAAGAAGACGTCAAGTCGCTGATGCAATGGTAGCTATTATAAAAAAAGTTAGCACTTACGATTCTTCTGGATGTATGTATACTTGCATACGTATATACTTTTTCTACTTCACTTTCTCAATGTGATTGATATGGAATGATAGCACAGAACAGAGCGAAATAGAATGAAACGGAACGGACTGAAATGGGAATAACGAGGTCGAAATAAAAAGAATTTTAACGTGTATGTACTATGGTAAGCCGTAGTATGGTGCCTATAATATAGAAGGACTTGAAGTCATGAAAAAATTACGCAAAGACAAGTCATCAAAATATGCGGTACAGAAGAACAGTGACAAGGTTCTCGACTTCGAGATAGCATTCTCTTCAGTGTTGACTAAAATCTATGTCTGTCTGCTATTACTACCGCGTGTGCATCTAATGTTCATCCACCTAATTATATTGCATGCGTATACCATCTGAAACGGAATGGATATACCTCCCCAACAAGCCAATAATGATACTGATTCCATTCCACACTTACTCCCACAAGAAGTTCAACTTCTTCAACCCCGCCTTCGGCGTGGATGGAGGATCAGGCTGCTGCTGTGCAATCTCGATGAATTTGCGGATTGGCGCCTCTGATAACGGCACAATCAGAGTGTTGTTCGCAATCTTGTAGCCGAAATACAGAGCAAGGACGATGACGATGTCGAGATAGGCGCTGATGAATGTTTCCGTGTCCCAACTGAATAATCAATCAACGATTAACAGCAATCTCCACTACGCTTAGAAACACTTACTGTCCGTGGATAAACGTGGTATACCCCCCTGTCAACAGGAGAATGATAATCGAAATGAAACTAGTCCATGCGGCGTAGGGTTGTAACGGCGCTTTCCATGGCAGATCATCGCGAGATATGCCTTGCTTTTTCATCGCGTAGTAGAAGCGCAAGTAGACGATGCAAATGCTGTGACAAATTAGTGAGTAATTCCATGCTGCCAGAACGTACCCGTCGACACCACATATATATAGGAATAATGAAAGGTTTTAGGTAGGCTTACACAATCCATCCAACAAGCGCCGCTGAAGAAGTTAAATCCTGCAACCAGGTAAACACTGTCGCGGCGGAGGCGCTTAAACTCATATATCCTAATGCAACGAATATTCCCACCGCGATGACCGAAAGGTAGGGAACGCCCCAACGACTGGTCCGTTTGAGAACTCTAGGCGCATGACCTTCTCTGGCTAGTCCGTATAATGTTCTCGAACCATTTAGAAGACCTAGAAAAGAAGTCAATTCGGGAGACAGTTTAGGAAGGTTGGGCTACTGACCCGAGTTACCGGCGCTCCAAGCGCTAGTGAGAACAACGAAATTGATAATAGAAGGCACGGCTTTGATTCCTGCGCGTTCCGCAGCAATAACAAAAGGTGATTCAGCCGCTGTTCCGCTTGATTTAAGTAGATCTTGGTCGTTAGAAGGTACGAGCAGCGTAACCATGAAGATGGAAAGCACTATACAATACCATCAGAACTGACACGGCGATATCCGGCAGAGTGCGTACCGTAGAAAATCAAGACTCGCCAGAAAATCCTCTTCGCAGCTCTTGGAATATTTCTTCGAGGAGCTCGTGTCTCTGCAGCAGCCATTGAGATGGTTTCGACGCCGCTGTACGCATACACCGCGTTGGAGAAGGTGGTCCAAAACCCCATGAATCGTCCCAAGGATCCCCCGTGCCCGAGGTATTGCACAAAAGGGCCGGGGTTATGCCAGAACCGAAAGCCATATGCTTCGTGGTTGGGTCCGCCACCACACGTAATGACAAGGGCCTGCTGATCGTGAGGAACTCCCTGTGCAGAAAGTTAAGAGGAAACGTACCATGATGTTCATACCCACGATGAGCAGAATCTTCAGTGTTGCAAAGGTGAATTCAAGCTCTCCATATATACGGACCAGAAACAGATTGCTGGCAAACAACAATGCGCCAAACACCGTTATCCAAACGGCATTGTTTATGGTAGTCCAAAATTGAACAATAACTGCTGCTGCCACAATTTCCGCCGGAATAGTGATGAGGTACGAGTAGATGGAGTTCCAGCCCTGGGCAAAAGATAGGGCAGGATCGACAAAGTATTCTGCGTGTCGAATGATACCTCCGCTGAGTGGCACCAAGGCACTAAGCTCAGCAATGCTTATAACGACACCAGAAACAAGTATGCCGGTAATGGTGTACCCTATGCTGAAACACCATTAGTAGGACTCAATTCGGCACCGGGAGGATCTTACAATGCACCGGCAGGTCCTCCATTGGCGAGAGCCCTACCAGACCCGAGAAACAAGCCCTAGAAATCAATGTAAACAATGCTGATAACTTCCAGGCAGAGACACGCACTGTACCGATGGTTCCCGCCAAGGCGATCATCTGTATGTGACGTTGCTCGAGGCCGCGCCTTGAGAGTTGCATTAACATTGTATTGACTAGGCACGGGGCAGAACTGCGCGAACCTAAGGTCTTTCTCCTCGCTGAACTCTGGAGGCCTATCGTCGACTGAGGCGATCTCGACATCCGGTGCATGACCATGTCTGTCAAGGTCATTGACCGTCTTCACGTCTTTTTCGGCAGTGTTTGTGGACATTGCAATATCCAATGCAGCGACTGACTATAAATATTCGACGAAGATCAAAATAATCTATGCAACAGAGAGCAGATCAGCACAATTCCTTCATCTGGGAGATGCAGGGCAGTGTTCACCCTATGGCAGTGATGGTAAATCTTACCAGGGATTTCAACACCAATGACACGGCTGCGATAGATATATGGATAGATAGTCTGGATAATAATGAAGCTGTAATTGTTAGAGAATGCTCTCGACTTCGTGGCTGATCGGACATTCAGCAGGGGAATCTATGAAGAACGACCTACCGAGGGAGTGGTACAGTCTCCCAGGAGGGAAGGACCGTACGACAAGGAGGAACTGCCAGTGCCATCGTTGCAACTGCCGACCAACTCCTCCATTGGAAGCATGGCACTCCAGACTATCCAAGCGCATTGATAGTCGCTATCCTGCCGGCAATTAATGGGATAGCTTACCCCGGTCTCTAAATACAGCTCTCATTGGCTGCGAAACGGCTTATCATGTTGGTTTCGTTTAGCGCAACATGAAGGACATCCAGCAAAGATACCGATATGTGGAGACATGAGACTCCTGAGGAGTCTCGTCAATGTATTCCCCGCATTCTGTATAGCTTATTTGTTGCATAATCCAACTAAACTTGGAGTTAACCATTTATCAATAACTGCTTTCATGTTCTCATTGATCAAATTGATCGAAGAAATCGTTGTCATCGTGCAAACACACATGATAATGTAGCATACGATAATTAAGGTATATATCACTGCAAACAGTGAGATAGTTGGTTTTAGTGTGCACAATTTTACCGCAAGATACTGTCATTTGTTCTCTATTCTTTTTTTTTGTTTTCAATCTCCCTTTCATGAAACGGAGTACAGAGAAGAGTACATAGAAGAATTAAGAATTAATTTTTCTCGTATTCAGGTCATTAGAAACGCATTAACAGTTATTAATCATGAGATACAGTCCATAGTATGCAGAATGCAAAAGAATATGCAACAAACAACGCCAACTGCTGAAAGAGACACACACACAAACAAACAAAAAAAAACCTCCCAATTGAGATCTTGACTCATCCATCATTACCAATTATCGTGTTATATCATATCGCATCCATAACAGTAAAAGCAAGAAACAAAAAAACCATGATCTATGCCTCAGAAGGGTCCTCCAACGCCGGATAATGATAAAGGAAGTCATAATACATCGTTATCGTGAAGGGAGACAGTATATTGCTGGATAAGACGAGGTGCCAGGTTGACGTCCGGATGAAGTGGTGATAGAAAGAGGTGTACAAAGAAGCAACGGACGAGGTGAGCTACTTCATCCACGCCGACGTAATGAGCATGTCTGGCTGTCCGGGCCGATGAACACGGTCGATGCCAAGATGGTCCCTTCCGTCCAGACCCTTGTAGATCCCAAATCCATAAACGGGCGCTTCTTGCTGTCCTGGCGGGGTGACGACTAATCGCGTCACTAGGTCTGTCTTCGCTCGAGGTTCGCGCAGCAGTTTGTCAGTGAGCAGCGGGCTCTGGTAGAGGAAACTGATCAGATCTGCCAGCGTGCTGATGTCGTGGGGCAGGTAGCGCCGGCGACGCGGCCAGATCACCAGAAACGAAAGCGCATACAACCCGCAGAAGGCGACCAGCGTGTAAAACGCAGGCAGACACGCCGAGATGCGTACCTGCTCTTGCGATGGGTACCACAGCGCGATGAAGATACCTCCCGAGAGGACCGGAATGGCCAGTGACACGAAACTCATGAACGAGATCCAAGCAACCTTGTAGTGCCCGGCAAGCAGTGCACGAATCGTCACTTCGATGGGAAGGCAAGACTGGTACGAGAGCAACAAACTCTTCTCCGCAGAGACGCCATCTGGAGACGACAACGACGCAAAGGGCTGCACAGCGCGGAAGTACACGTCAATTGGCTGCCACGCAAGGAACAGGACGGTCCCAATGAACGCAGGAATGAAGCTGTAGACGAAGTTCGATGCGGAAAACCCGCTGGCCGACGCCAAGGTCGGCAACAGCGGCAGAAATCCCCGTTCAATGGCATTCTTGACAAAGCTGACTATCACGAACGCGGTAAACAGGAACAGAGCAATCACGATCCACGCCAGGATGGAGGTATCCCGCAAAAACCAAACGGTCCACCTGTACCGAACGAAAGGGGAGTGCAGAGTCCGTTCAAAGGCTTCGTTCCGCAAGATTCCCTGCTGTTCCGGGTCCTCGTTTACAGCTGCGCTGGACGAGGCGGCTGGATGCTTCTCCTGACTGGTGGTGGATTGGTTGACAGTTGAGTCTTCCGGGGCATATTCCTGTCCGATGCCATAGAAGATCTCCTCGTGGTCCAACAGCCGCCAGTAACCCAGTCGAAGTACCCTCTTAGTCGAGGAGTCGCGCACGCTCGGGGCTGTCTCAGAACGATCGAAGTCACGCAGAATATTCGACCTCTGAATTAGCGGGATGAGATCCGCCAAGCTCACTGGATCCCACATCAGACCCGTCCAGCTTTGGCAGAAGCGAAACATGATGAGAGACAACGCAACGACCAACAGTGCGTAGAGTGCAACGAGCGTCCAGCCCACTGGTTGGACGGAAGTCCACCTCCAAGTGCCCTGGACGCCAAAGTAATAGAACTTGGTCTGAAAGAGGCAGCTCTGTAAGGGAATGGAAAAGAGATTCGACAGCCATAGAGCAAACAGCGAAAATCCAATCAGGGGCTCTCCGTGCCTGAAGTGGGAGAGATCTGGGAGCACAAAGTTCCGTGGCAAGATCGGGAGGTGTTGCAGGACGCCGTTAATCTGCCGTTCTGACGCCATGATGCAGTAGGGAATCGTGCGATACACGGCGGCCTGGATGACAAAATTCCAGATGACAAGGAGAATCGCCAGCAACTGGGGGAGGAACTGGAATACGAAATACCGCGATCCCCCGACACGATCATAATCCCACAGACCCTGATGACGCTGGGACCAGACATTGCAGAACGCAACGCCAGCAATCGTCAGAAGACACAGCAAGATGAAGATGGCCAGGGCCCATGGACGAAGGACCAATGGGACATAGTCCAGAGGGGGATATCGGTAGTCGCCTGCATGGGGTTCGACGGCGACAAAGACGTCCGCACTGGCCGACTTCTCGCGCTCGAAGCTCTTCTGCCTGCTGGGCTGCTGTTTCTTGATTTCGACGGTCGTTGGTCCTGAGCGGATGTAGTATCCCAGTCCTTGATCTCCGACAATACGCTCGACGGGGTAGTCACTGCTGGCGACGGAGCCATGTCTCCCAACGCCCGTCACCTCCTCGTCGCGGGTCAATTGGTCGATGGCAAAGCGGATGTAGGGTGTATCGTCGACACCGGGCGTGGGCGCATTGCTATCCTGTCTTGGATCGGCGTCTGGTCTGGGACTGATCTCACAAACCTGGTTTTCGCCAAAGCGCACCGTGTTGGCGGTGGCAGGTCGGGTGGTTGGGGTCCGGCGTCCCTTCATGTTGTCGGACGACTGCGATGACTCGACAAGGTTTGGTCTGGAATGCTGGGGAGACGACGGCTTAGATGGAATGTGGGGAGGCGGGATTGCATAATACCGCACGACGGTCACTTTGCTGCTTTTGCTGCTCTTGTTGCTTTTGTTGCTGGTGTTGCTCGTATCGCTCGCGGACGACGACAGCGAGTAGTAGTCATCCGACGCGGCGGCAGAGTGTTGAGACTGTTGGTGGAGGAGCTGCGGTTTGCTGTCTGTCAACAAAACAACAAAGGCGGTCAGCTGGATCGATCCATGGAGAGAGCGAAACAGGTACCTTCTACCTACAATTGACAGTCTTCACATTGGCCAGGTCCGGAGAGCTCATGACGGTCGCGCGAAGATGAGTAATGTGCGGGATGGCAGCACCAAAAATGCCTGTCTTTTGACAAGCATTCCTCTGCTACCGTCGGCGTCCATTGCGTTAATAATTAATTCGCTGGCGGCCGTGGTCGAGGATATCGGGGGGTTGGGATGAGGAGGGGAGGCTGGTGAGTGAGCTGGACGGAGCTGTCCCCAGCCACCAGCGTGGCACGTCGCGACTGGCAGACGCAAGGACTTGAGACACGGCACCAGGGACATCGCGTCTGCTGGGCAGCCACTCCAGAATTGTCTTCTGACCGACACATTATGCTGGCCAGTGATTCCTGAGTTGTACCTGTTTCGAGTTATCTTGATGCTTGTAGCTGCATGCTCAGTTACCGTGGATGGATGCTCGATGATGCTCGGCGCGGCCCGCAACCTTGACACTTGCCCAGCCACTCGAAAAAAATCCATAATTAAGGAAACAATTAACAGTTGTACGATCTCTATAAAAAAAATTCAATCTGAGACAGGCATCATTTTATCCATTTTTCTAGCTACCTAACCACATAGACACTTTCGCCCTTGTTGCAGACTGGCATACAAGGAAAATGGGTGAGGCGGGGCATGACATCATTTCCGCAATGGCCAGCTGCCTAAGGTTCGGAATAATAGAGCCTGCAGTTCGGAGTGGGTAGAAAATACGTGCTGAATCCGGGTCCCAGCTCGGCGTAGGTAGAAAAAAGCTCCAGGAAGGCGGAAGTTTATCTATCTACTCCGAACTGTAAGCCCGTAAAACTGTTGTCCGATCCGATTGTCGGTAGACCTCCTACGGACTAATTATGGAACCCTGGTCCACCCATCCAGAATTCGGAGTTGGGACCGAGTTAATCGAGTTGGACTTATCAACGCTAATTTATCATGCAAAAATAGAAGCAATCTGCTCTGCCTTTGTCAACAGTTAATAATAGTTATCGTCGATATGCCGAAGGAGTTGTGTGACTCAATCCGCGTAGACTAGGCTGCATTAGTGTTTGGATTTCGCGATAAAAGAGGGAAGGCAACCAAATCAGTGCTGCTAAAAAGGGAGAAAGAGAAAGGAGGGCCTTGATATTGCCATACAATAAATCCAAGCAGAAAAGTCTGCGTCCATCATGAGTAACGCCTTCCTGCCGGTGGACAAGCCCACGCGGCCCTTCTGGCGGACCGATCCACACCCGCTAGACGAACGTCGCACGACTGCTGATCTCCCTCCCCAGAGCGACATTGTCATCATCGGAGCCGGCTATGCAGGTGTGAGCATCGCCTATCATCTGCTGAAATCGACCAGCGTCTGGAGCGACAGGACGCAATGGTAAGAATGATCCATATCAGCCACCTTTCTGGGTTTCTAGGTGGAGTTGCTTATCAATTTCAAGGCGGACATCTTCGACCCGACCTCTACGGACTGATCCCAACCTACATCGAACGGCATGGCATCGAGGCCGGTGCTGAAGTGGCCCGTTTCGAGCTGGCCCATATGAACGCGATCAAAGATGTCGTTGCAAAAGAGAACATTGACTGCGATCTCAACATCACCCGGAACATGAACGTGTATTTGGATGAAGAAGGAGCTGTGGAGGCGAAAAAACCTTTGATGCGCTTGTGGCCAAGGGATTGTCCTTCGTCGACGACATCCACTATACTTCAGAGAAGAACGCAGAGGGGGTACATTCTAGCTTTACCTTTTTGTCGGGCCTAAGAGTCGCGAATATACTAAGGATGCTTGAATCAGGTCTCTGGAGTTAAAAAGGTGCCAAGGCATGTCTGTCTTACACAGCCGGCACGTTGTGGCCATACAAATTTGTCATGGCGGAGCAGTCAATCTGCAATCGTCCACTCCAGTCACATCTGTGACGAGTGACGCACCTGACAGCCATATCGTCCACACGCCCCGGGGCGCCATCCGTGCGAAGAAAGTAGTGTACGCGACAAACGCCTACACCTTAGGGCTGCTGCCCGAATATTCTGCAAGCATCGTTCCTTGTCGAGGACTCTGCTGCCATATTGTCGTTCCAGAAGGCAAAAAGCGCTCCTTCCCTACTCCTACGTAATAGGCATCCAGCAACAACACGGAGGGAGCTATCTGATCTCCCGACCGGATGGCAGCATCATCGTCGGGGGAGCGCACCACACATACAAGGACGACAGAAAACAATGGCACAATACGGTGGATGACAGCACCCTGATCGAGCCAACGAAGCACTACTATGACGACTACATGCAACGGACTTTCAAAGACTGGGAGGACAGTGGAGCGTATGTGAAGGAGATATGGACCGGGAGTACGTACCATGCTCTCTTGACATGACAGCAGACTCAATAACTGACCGTCCGCTCCGGTTCCACAGTCATGGGCTACTCCTACGACTCGGCCCCTCACGTCGGTGAAATCCCCTCCAGACCAGGCCAGTACATCTGCGAGGGCTTCAACGGGCACGGCATGCCGGTTATATACTTGTCAGCCAAAGGGCTCGCGCAGATGATTCGCGAGGGGAAGAAATTCGAAGAGGTGTATCTACCGCGTCTGTTCAAGACCACGCCGGAGAGACTGGAAGCGGCTCAGAGGGGTAATAGAGGGGACATTCTGTCTTAATCACAGTGTTTTTATATATTTAGGTGTTGCTTACAGCTAAGAGACTTGCTTCTACAACGACGTTAATATCCAATTTGATAACACAAAATTATCTGCAGCATTTCTTGCCTGCATACAGGAGTCGGAGTCCCGATGTCAAGTACACCGTCGGGGATTCTTCTGGATGGTGCTATGAAGAGTATGTTTGTCCTTCTTGTATTTCTTCCTAGTAGTTATCTGCGTTCCGATCTACTCTGCCCTACTCCTGTGCATTATTCTTATGCGCATTCACAGCCTAGGCAACTACAGATTCAGGGGTCAGCTTTGGGAGCACGACATGTTCGTTCCCGACCCTCGGCCACCATGGTATATGAGCTACGTTTATCACCATCATGACACCAGATTCCCACACATCAAGTGCACCATGTTCTATGACATTGACGGCGATAATGAAACACTGCTCCGCGGTGAATTGCTTGCTCTTATCAGGATCATGAGAGGTATTTTACGCAAAAGATGCTTTATTGAACATAACATTGCTCCGGTAAGTTCTGAATTTTCCCGCCTCCCATCCCTACAGGCAGCGGATTTGATCTTGAACATTGACTGTTCCTTTCACTTCCGTTAACTATGGGATATCTGCAGGTTCTCCTCTTTTCCGTGATGGGCCATCACGCTAGGATTCTTCAAGCCCACTTCGACGGAAATGAGCTCGTGGTGCAATGCAGCAAACTCTACAGCTTCGAGCATGAGCAGGACGCTCCCTTGGACTTTTTTGCGCAATGGTTCTTGAGTGCCCCAACCGGCAAGACGACTCCAGAATGACCGGCTCATATTTGTGTGAAGTAGCTGCATAGATTACCATTGACATGAGTGGTTATGGATAGCCAGGCAGGCTCCTTGGCTTGAAATATACTTGGTAACGGCGTTACAGGTGTTGTGGAATTGACGCAGTCATCTCGATTTTGTCATGTACTTCCCGTCTTATCTTTTCAGTTTTTTCGTGCCATTTATTTGTGTGTATATCCAGGGTATTGGTTAGGCGTTATTGTGCTTGTGCGAGAGGTCGTTATTGAGTAACGATGATAGAAACTCGGTAAATGATGCTTCAGTAATCACCTCATAATCTAATGCAAGTCAATGCTGGCTAGACTAGTAATGGATACAGTGTGGAGGACAAACCTACTGTCATCCAGGATGACAAGATGACGGTCATCTTTCCACCTGTCAGCCTGGATGATGACTGGTGACTACCAGGCACATGTATCCATGATGACACGAATAGTCTAGACAGTCCAGACGAGACATGTATATAAATAAATCGTATCGGGTATCTCTTATTCGTCAATCAACAACTGCACCTCTAAATCAAATTACCAAGTTGAACTTCCACTATCATAATATATACTATACTACTATACACTACATTCCATCGATTCAGGGCTGCAAACATCAAAATGAAGTCCGCATTTCTCTTCGCTTTCCTCTTTGCCGCCATCGCAGCTGCCATTCCTTCACCTCATGGTGGTTAGTGCACACATCGCTACCTGTACGTACCTCAGCAAGCACTGACTTGGTCAATAGAAACCCCCGCTGAGCAGGCTGGTGAGCTTGCGCCAGAGCCAGCTGCCAAAGTCGCCGATGGAGACTTGAGTGTCGATGAGATTTCTGATGGCTTGTATGGAGTATGGCACAAGAAATAATAAAGGAGAAGATTTTGTTTGTTTGGATTTTGGGGTTGATCGAGGGTGTCTGTGAGATGGAAAGGCTGGCGAGACGCAGACAGGATTGGACTATGGAAAGATAACTCCTAGATTTGATCAATCGCATCAGGTCTCCTTTGAGTGTCGTCCATAGCGGAGATCTATAGCCAACAACAGGCTTCGTCGATGATTATAAGCACTGGATCAGGTCCTGTAGATCAGTAACACGTCCTTAAACCGCCCCCAACTACCCACTAAACTGTAGTCTCGCAGATAGTGAGGATGTAGATAATGACATGAGCGATCCAAGCAGAGGATCAAGTGTATATTTATTGGCAAATGAGGTCTGCTGACGATACTGACGGATGACATCCAATGGCAGGGCTTGGGTTCGAAATACGGCTATTGTGATTCCTCTCCTTCCACGCGACCTCCCTGGTGTTTCCTAACGTGATCCTCTACAGAACATACTCCATGCTTTCTACTCCATCAGAACAGCAAAATATTTATACCATTGCACGTTCAGTCTCCATCTCACAAACATATTATATACAGATAAACTGACATATACGCAGATAGCCAGCCTCAGTCCAATAGCACGGCTGTGTACAGTCAGCCCTCCAGGGTACGAGCATTGAAATCAGCGCCGCCCTCAAGCAACAGCTTGATGACCTCCCCATGTCCAGTATCGGCCACCATGTGCAGCGGCGTATATCCATCGAAATCCACCACCTCGGTATCTGCCCCATTCTGCAACAATAGTGCTACCACCGGGAGATGGCCGTTGAGGGCCGCATGATGGAGCGCCGTCCGACCGAAGCCATCGACGGCGTCGATATCGGCTCCGTAGTCGATGAGCGCCTGCACCGCGTCCACGTGGCCTTTGGACGCGCCAAGGTGAAGCGCAGTCATTCGGCGAACCGATCGTCGCTCGATTACATCATTTTGAATGCTGTTCGGGTTTGTGCTTGCGATTGAAGTCGTCCTCCGTGGCCAGATGTACTTTGTTGACTGCGAGGTCAGTTGCTGTTTAATCGTCCGGGTCGAATGAAATTGAATACATGGCCTACTGAGACGAGGTCCAAGCCTGGTGGGTGCGATCTTCCTCTCCTTCTCACGTCGCGCGATGCCGCCGGAGCAGCACCTGGTATTTTCATCACTCTGCTTCTTTCATCCTCTCCTACAGGGGCGTGTTCGGAGTTTGATTCTTCAATTCTGGCCGAGTTCAGCTCTGGAATGACGAACAAGCTATCGTCAACGAACGTTTCGCCACAGTCCTCTCCTGCATGATCCAGACCGGGAAGAAACGTAGGCGACAGCAATTCCTCTGATGTCGGCGACGTGCCAACTACGGATGGAAGGGACTGGACATCGGTAGGAGAGACGCTCGACAGGGTCGATCGCGTGGATTGATCGGGTTCCGCGCATGTCTCGTCCTGCTGTTTGTCGCCCGCTCTTGTTTGCTTCCCGTCTTGCAGTCGTTGACCTGGGCAGATCATCAGGATGGTGATCATTCCATTCCATTCCATCATTCGAAACTTACGTCGTCTTCGTTGCGCAAGACGATTCTGCTCTCGGCGACGTTTGATGACCTCGGGACTGCGCTGCATCGTGCTCCTCGATATGGCGCAGACGAATGCTCCGTAGCACCATTTCTGCTCTATATACTATTGCCTCCTCGCACACCGACAACATCCGAGATAAATGACAGGTCAGAACGTCGGATGTGTAGCCAGCGCTAGCAGTAGTCTCCTGCACTCCAGAGACTGGCACAGTGTGACGGCCTTAAGAGGATCCGTGTACGACATAGTTCCTGTGTAACGGAGATGCTTCTCGAGTGATGTTTGGGAGGACTGAGAAGCTTGGCGAGTGTTGTGCGTGTTGATTAGAACAGAGCTTTATCTATAGAAAAGACCAAGCTTCAAGGACATAAACATGCATTAATTCCATTTGGTCTTCAGGCTGGATCAGCAGGAATGAGGCAAGAGTTGTCCAGAAAATGAGGGAGAGATGTGACCGACCTGAGAGGAACAAAGAACCAGGTGTCCAGACTATAAGTCATGTCCGACCACAAAGAACAAAGAACAAAGGTTTTATGTGATGCACGAGCAGGGGTTTGCTTTCCGAGGCGGTGACGCTGACAGTCAGCGTCAGCGTCAGCAATTAACGAGCCATCCTTGAACTGAACAAGATGAATAATTTCATTCGTTCCCATTCCTGGCGGAAATTCAAGTACAGTCAAGAAAACAAGAAAAATGGATGGATCAGTCGAAGTGGAAAAACAGGCCTTGCTGGCAGACTCTTGTCCTCCGAGAGAACGACGACAATCATGGAGAACATCGACCAGCCATCTGATCGTTCTGTATTGCGTGAACGTGATGTTGGCCTTCATGGTCATTGTTCTCACAATCGAAGTCCGTCGCAAACAGACGGTGGACCCTACGCTGGACGTGTATTGCAAGTTCCCTTTCCTCGCAAATCTCTCCTCGCTCTGCTGACTCGAGTAAATAGCGCCGGCCAACGAGGCAGTGGAATATATTCCTCAACAGCGGTTTCGAGCGGCGCTGTTCAACAACACCCCGTACATGGGCTATCCAACAGACGAGACGGACAAGTTGTGGTCGGACCTGTACAACTGTAAGAGCCATCTCTCTATCATTTTCCCAGCTAATCTTTCGGCATCTAGTTGGGATTTCGAAAATCTCCGAGGAGGAGGCCAAGAAGCTCCCTTCACCTACGTTGCCCATCCCCGGAACGAAGGACTATCTCATCGAGCTGGATGTGTGGCATGAGCTGCACTGTCTGAACGACTTGCGCAAGCTGCTGTATCCAGAGCGCTTCCCGGGTCTGGACGCGCTGAAGGACGAGAACGGGGTGATTAACCGGGACAGCGACGATTTCCGGCACTGGGGTACGCTTATCTCAAGATGATCTCTGCTCACGCTTACTGACTGCTGCTAGACCACTGCATCGACTCCCTCCGCCAAACAATCATGTGCCATGCCGACGTCGCGCCGATCCCTTTCCACGTCAACGTCCCTGCAAGCAAAGGGATTTTTCCGCGGCTGGCGACGACCCACACCTGTCGCAACTTCACCAAGATCCAGGAGTGGGCCAAGGCGCATCATGCCGGACGCTGGGACTTCAACCTCACGCCAGAACAGGCAGAAGAGATTATCCAGACGGCTGGGTTCGACCAGAGCCCGTGGGAGGATGTCGAGTTTCTGTGGGAGCTGTTTCCAGGGAACACGTTCTTTCGGCATTGGAGGGAGAAGCTGGGGGAGCAGGCGAACAAGTCATAAGTTGTTTTTCACTTACTTGCGTATCAATTGCAAGAGGAGTTTCAATATCGGCTCTTAAATTGATTGCTTGCTCGACTGAGGTATATAGTTCTCCCAGTCCCTAGGTAACTGCATGTAAAAAATGATCATTTAATGGATAGTTTTAACAAATTTGTAAAGTAAAATGGTCTAGGCAAAGCTAAGTTCAATACGAGATATCTCTATATAAATTATTTTCATTAGGACCATCTGCCTATTTTATTTATTCAATGTCGACTACGGAGTATTACTTCGTGGCAAAAAAAAAACCCCTAGTAATAGATAATCCCTTTATACATATAAAAAAAATACTGATTAAACCCTCTAATCCCATTTATTCAATCATCTTCATCCACAACCAACAAACTCCTCAACGTCTCCCCTTGCCGTACTTTCTTCCCCCTCAGCGCTTTTTCCTGCGACCGCCTCACCGTCTCCCACACAAACGCCGCATCGCGACACTGATGCACAACGCCCTCGCCGTCGATCAGATCAATCCTTTTCCCGTTGGGGAGAAGGTGGCTTTCTGGTGGTTCGAGCGTGTCGTCTGCGCAGCAGACGATGGCCTGGTTGGACACTTTGTTAGTTTGCACTTTTTTTTTTCGACTAGGTGCTTACCTGCGCGAGATAATCCAGACAGTGCTGGAGGTGCTTATCTTGGTAATGAGGCGAGATCTGCGATTCCAACGGATTCTCATGATGATGATGGCTATGGGCTTCAGACTCATTATTCCCCATGATCCTCCCCCTCAACAGCTCCAAACAATGCAACTGATGGAACATCGACACGCCGAAACGGCGTCGTCGTGCGGGCGCACTCGCTTCTGTCAGAATGACGAAGCTTTCGTTTGGGACATTTCGGGATTCCTTGAGCAGGGATGACTCTGTCTGTAGGGAGAAGGTTTTGGGTATGTATCGTTCTTCGAGATAGCTGCTACTGCTGTAGGTAAATTGTCGCGATGATGATGAGGACGAGGGAAGAAGGTTCCAGGACCATGATCGTATGTCCTGCTGGATGAATAGGTAGGTGATTAATCCTACCAGTGCTAGGATGACTAGGGCAAAGAGGTTGCAGAGGCGCCAGAGTGGGAGATTCATGGTCGGTTTGTTGATATTGTTTTGACGGGTGTTTGGTTGGATAAAATGCAGACTGCTTAAAAAGAATAGAACAGAAAAGAAAATGGTTAGCTTATTCGTGTGTTACAATGCCCGCATGACGACTGCTGACAGATGACAGCAGATGACAGGGTTAGGGCGCCAATTTTGTTTGTGTTCTAGGTTAAGCGTCCAGACGAACTACATCGACTATGTATCTCTGCTCTCTATATTCTGCCTACCCAATCTCACCATCCACATCCTGACCATAATCCTCATGGTTGCGAAAAAACCCATGAACCTCCTTAAACCGATGGGACATGACATGCGGCGGGCCATAGTCATCAGGCCTGCGCAACGCCACAAAGGCCTCCTCATCCAGCGCATGCCGATTCTGCCAGTCCCGCACAGCCTCGAAATCGCGACACTGGTGGTGGATATTGAAATCCGGGAACGGATGGTGCAGCGTATCCGTCCAGAAATGCGTGTAGACGTCCGTGTTCGCGTTGCAGAGGATGTTCTGCAGAAGCAGGTACACGCAGTGCGACAGATGCAGCCGATGCATCGGCGTCGTGTCGTTGAATCCCCCGGGATACTTACTGCCGTAGTAGTGCTCGAAATACGCCTCCCGGCGTAGACTGTCCAGGCAGTGGATCTGGTGGAAAACGTCGATGCGTCCCGCGTACATGTCCGGCCCTAACCCCCAGCTCTCGGGGATACGCACCGCCTGCTGCGGATCTTTCCCGATGGCGAGCACCTGCTCCCGCGTCAGGGGGATCGGCCGCGTGTCGCCCAGTTGCCTCCATGCGTGGTCCACCTCGTCGCTCGGTTCCTGGCGGAAGATGCTCAGCGGGGAGGACTCGAGGAGCGTGGCGTCCATGCGCTTGGGCTGGATTTTGATTTCGACGTCGTCTAGGACGGGGGCTTTCCCTATCATTAGATGGGATCTCACGCAGAAGTTGTTGCGTGCTGGCTTACACGGCATAGAAATCTGCTTGAGGAGGAAATTCGGTTTTCGGGATGCTAGATGCAGCCATAGTGACACCGCGAAAACGACAATGGAGAGACCGAACAGCGCAGCGTTGGCCCACAGCCAGTACGGCGAGTAGGTGTGGACCAGTGACCGCGCTGCCTGTTGTTTTTCCAGTTCATCGTCTCCATCTGTATCTTGGACCAGTCGATACCGAGGAAACAAGCAAAGACGCGGGCGAAGGCGAAGGAGAGAGAGCCGCCTCATTGCGATTCGATATCGTGTTTCAGACTGTCTCTGGAGCGAACAACTAAAGCCACCTTTTCTCTTCTCATATTGGAGTACTTCATCGGTGTTACACTGTCGCTGACACTGTCGATGAAAGAAACAAGCCATGGATGACGAGATGACAGGGATGCTGACTGATGACAGGGCTGATGACAGATGCGGTCATCCTTGAACTACAACAGAGTCTAGGGCTCCGGGAGATATGGAATCAAATCAACTTGAAGGTTAAAGGTCAATAATTATCTTTTTTTTTTTAAAAAAAAAGAGAAAAGAAAAGACAGAAAAGAAAAGAAAGAAACCTCAGCTTCAACTAACCCATTCCGACATCCACATCTCACTGGTTCTTCACATAACCGGTTCCTGAGCGACAAGAATGACAATGATATATGCATGCATATGAGGGATAAAATGAATCCAATAAATCACAAACGTAGAGTATCAACTTGTTCAGGAAGGCATGACTTCTTTTTTACCTTGTGTAGTGTATGTCTAAAAGGATGGACAGTACTCCGGGTATGCACGTGCTCGAGCGATCTACCTAAAAGTTCACTATATCCGCTAATCTATATCAGGAATAGCTCCCGCTTTGACAGCGGTTGGGTCCACAGGTTCGGAGTAGGTCCGCTTAGTCATATTGCTATATATAGTTATCACCTTCCTCATTCGGACAAGAATATATACAGCTTGAAGGAAAGCAGCTGGATGGCTGTCCGCTGTCCCCTATTTTTTTTACATATATACGTGTCCTAATCTACGTATCATGCAGATACGCCGCAACGACAGCTCCCCATCCACCCGCGTTCGCACTCTCCGTCGCTATCGCCGTCGAGTCCTCGACAAACACGTTCGTCACGGCCTTTGTGTTCGTGCCGTAGAAGTACAGCGACGAGGACGAAAGGATCTGGATGGCGTTCTCCTGACAGTCGCCGTTGCAGTTGCCGTTGTTGTCGTCGAAGAACGTCCAGACACACCCGCCGTACAGGAACAGGTTCGACGAGTCCCTGACGTGCTCGAACCACGCCATCCGGCATTTGCCGTCGTCTGCGGCGCAGTTCGTGAAATCCGGGTCGCTGGCGATGAGGTTGTCGGTCCACGGCGCGGGCGCGAGGTCGTTACCGGGTCCCTGCCAGTAAGGCGTTTCGCTCTGCTGGAATGCCGAGAAGACGTTCTGCGCTGAGTTGAAGTTGTACTGGTACAGCGTGTGGTGCTCGAAGGCCGTGCCGACCAGCCATGTCCCCTTGGTCGCCTCGACCAGCATGCCCCGGCCTGTTGAAATTGTCTGCCCGTTGCCGCCGTCCAGGTCGTGGTCGGCCGTCCATCCCCACATGTTCTCGATATACGTCGAGGATGTGTTGGTCAGATGGATCACGCCCCAGGCGGCTTTGCACTCGTCGGGAGTGCCGGCGCAGTTGGTTTCGACTTTGCTGCCTGCGGCGCCGCCGATCCGGAAATGAGAGTTCCAGAACCCGACGTCGCCGGGCGAGGAGCCGGCAATGTTAACCTCAACCTGGGCACAATCAGCTTAACAGATCCTTTTTTTTATTGAGTAGTCTTAACTCACCAGCTTGCACCCCTGCAACACATCCGCCACCGTGAACAGCATGTCGACAATCTGCGCAACACCGACATCACCAGGGTTGCCCACCTGGACCATTGTTCCAGGGGCGTCGGGATTGTAGTAGTTCGAACCAATGGCAGAAATGGCCGAAGCATAGGCATCGCCGTAGATGCGGGAGCCGGCAGGAACGAAGATGGTGTTGGTCACGATATACGTTCCCGCAGGGAAGTAGATAATCTTGCAGCCCGCGTATTGCTGCAGGATGGCATTGATGTTGGCCGTGTCGTCGGTGACGCCGTCGCCGTAGACGGGCAGACCGGAAACGGATTTGATGTTGATCACGTCGTCGACAGAGTATTGTTGGAAGGTCGGCGGAGGCATTGTGAAGTACTTGCCGTTGGAGACGAGAGATGCAGGACGGGGTGTGTTCACCGTCTGTCCGGATTCATGTTGGGCGGTGCTGCTTCCGGATGCGTACTGCGAGAGTTAGCTATATTCCTTTCATCATATGTAGTGTCATGTCATCAGGTAAGGTCAGACATACCTCATTTCCATACACCCAGGTATCCGTCACACTGCCAGTCAAAACAACATTCCCACCCAGCGTGACGGTATTCCCACTGTTCTGGACATTGTCCAGGATGATCGAGTTCCCCGCGCCACTGGAGCTGCTGCTACTAATCAACGTGCCCAGGTTGCTGCCACTCGAGTCGATCACCGTCAGCGATCCGCTGATACCGCTGGCATCAATGCCCGTGGCGACGTATTGGAACTGCGAGTCTACGACCACCAGGTTCTGTCCTCCGATGCTCATGCCGACGTTGGCGCCGTCGATGCTGATGTTCTTCAGCACCCATTGCTGGCCGCTGAGCTGCAGCGCGAACTTTCCGCCGTAGAAGACGAGGTCGTTCTGTTTGAGCTGTTAGACTGGTCTACAGAAAAAGGAGACAACGGCACATACCAGAATCGTGTTACTGTTGTAACCATACTGACTGGTCACTCCAATGTGGTTCGAGTAGTCCGGCATGTTAAAGACGACATTGGTCAGCTGCGTCGCCTGACTGACGGTCCAGTCCAGCAGGGCAATGTTCTGCGCCGCGTCGACGCCCGTCGAGTCGATGACGATGTTCTTGATGGCGATGTAAAAGTTCACCGTGCCCTGCTGGTTCGGGTCCTTGCCGTAGATGATGTGGTCGTTGGGGAAGTTGGCGGCGGCCTTGAGAACGGGCGGGTTGATCGGGTCGCCCACGAGCACGGTGCCCACGTACAGCTGAAGACTGCCCGTCATCAAGTACGTTCCGGATGGGATGTACACGACGGCTGGCTGGCCGGTCGTTCCCATCGAGTTGGTGGTCCTCGCAGGGCCGTTCGATGCTCCAGCTGGGTAGCGTTAGCTGCCTATGGACAGACAAAGGTAACTGACATGGGGATTACCATTGATAGCATTCTGGATGGCAGCAGACGCATCCTTGGAACCAGTGTTGTCGGCCCCAAAGTCAGTGACGACATTTCGGAAGACAACGTAGTTGTTCTTGTAGGACGAGTCCATGTAGGAAGCCTCGCCGTTGTGGGTGATGGCTTCATACCACCACTGCGTGGGGTTGTTCGGGGTGAGAGAGGAGCAGCTTGCTTCGGGAGCGTTCACCGCATGGGTGGCTGGCTCTGAGAGGTGAAGCCATGGCTGGGCGGACTCGTTCTTGATTGTGTACTGGATGCCACTTTATTCGTTTAGTAAGTATGCAGAAGAGAAGCGTGAAGGGTAACATGATGCGAAGCTACCAGGGTACCAGCCCTAACCCTGACTGGGGCCGTAACTGGCTTGGCAGGGGTTACCATTCAAGAGAGGATCTAGCTTGGGGGCGATCTTACGTTTTATGAGGCTGATAGTTCAACGGAGGAACGCCCTCCCGGATATCAAACGTAGGAGCAACGTAGGTATCATTGGTGTCGCGCGGAAGGAGAGAATTGGTCGGAAAAGCAGCAGCAAAGAGAGACAAGGAGAGAAGCGAAACGGAGATGGAAGAAAGTAGTCCAGCCATGTTTCAACGAAAATACAACATAACAATATAGATAGAAGAATAATATATACGAGAAAGGAAAAGACTCCAAGGACCGACTATAGTAGGATCGTTCGAACTCAGCCAGGGTGCTGCTGCTGCTGCTGCTGCTGCTGGAGATCGACATGAAGCTACCTAGGGCTGGATATCACCCTGCCTTTATACTACAGCCTTGACCAGGTGCCATCTGGGTTAAAGTTCCCCGCGAGGGTTGTTCATGGACGCCGTTGCCGGTGGCGTTCTGCAGGCCGTGAGAAGTCGTACGGGGTGCATGTATTAGTGCTTAGTCGATGGTCAGGTAAGTAAGCAGTTGAACGGGTCCCAGTTGAATGAACGTGCTGTTGACGGGTCCATGGGACTTCCTGCATGTAATTACAGTAATCATGTGAGAAGACCGGAAGAGCCTGCGAGTCTAGAAGCAGACAGACAGGAGAATATCCAATTGCCGGATACTTGTCATCACAGACGCTGTCAAATCGCCATCGTCAGAGGCAGAAACAGGTACCTGAAATTTGCCGAGAGGCGTTAGACGGGCGTTTCCAATCACGCCTCAGAAAAAGCCCCCAGGGGCGTACCTAATCGCATTACCATACTCGAACACGAAAATGGCTACCAATTCCCGTAAGCAGCGCTGAGCTTAGCTGAGGTTAAATATTGTTAAATGTAGCCATCGGCTGTAACTGCGGGGGAGCTAACTGCGTATGCGTATTATTCTTCGGAAATGGACCCTGACTGTCGTGAGAGCCGGCACTAATTATTAATTAAGAGTCTACTCTTGACAAATGCAACCACAATGGCCACATGGCTGATTTTCTTGTTTTTGATTTGATTGATCCTGTCGCCCTGGACTTGACTATAACTAATTACCGAGCCTATACGGAGTATACAATTTCTGCTGATGAGCCACACCTTCTTACCTACCTTACCTGCCTTAGTCGCTCCTCACGTTCCTATTAGCTGTATAGGTAGGTAGTCAGCCATTGAGTATTATCCTTAGCATGGAGGTAAAATGTAGGTAGTTGACACCCTAGGCCCACCATCTTGGTTGGGCAAAAGGCTTACGGAGTACATACTTGAAGCAACCCTCGATGTAACGTAACCATGCGGAACAACCGGCATGCAGGAAAACCATTTCCCAGTTTACCAATGATAATACGGCAGGCATGAGATTACATACAGTTAGTGAAAATCAGAAAGTCTTAGTAATTGCTCCTATTTATATTTTTTTATTTTCTTCCGTGAATAATGCCCAATTTGGTGACGGTGAGATTCATAGTTTTTGTGCCAGTGCTCTAATTAACCCAATATTCTCTCTAGTCTCAAATAAATAGCATCGCTAATTTTTGATCTGTTCGATAGTCTCTAAATCCAGGGCATTCCGTAGATATATAACATTTCGAGTTTTAGTCCGTGACCATGACACAAGACTCCTAAGGCAGCGCAGCAGCTGTGCTATCTAAGCCAGACCAGAACCCGCCTTGGTAGCCAAAATCAAGGGTACCTTCCCCAGTGTCTGACCGTTGCAATTCTATCGTTAACTTTCACCTTCAGCGTACGCCTCATCCAAGTGCAGGACGCCGTAAATCCAAGTTTTGATACATAATTAAAAAAGGCCAACTAGATAATCTCCGTTGTCTCATGCCGGCGCATGCGTGAACAGATAGCTGACGCTCTCTCCATTGTGCGTCCTTCGGATCGCCTCTGCAATCGTCGCACTGACGTCGATCACCCGGATCTTCGGGCACCGCTCCAGCTTGTCACCAAGCGGTACCGTGTTGGTCACAACGATCCTGGACAGGCAGCTCTTGTTGAGTGTTTCGATAGCATTGCCCGACAAGATGCCGTGCGTGACAATCGCCAAAACCTCCGTGGCGCCGTTGTCCTTTACTGTCTGCGCGGCCTTGGCCAGCGTTCCGCATGTATCGGCCATATCATCCACGAGAATTGCGATCTTGTCCTCCACGTCGCCGACGAGCACCATGCGCCCGACCTCGTTCGGCCGCGGTCGCTCCTTGTGAATGAGTGCGAAGGTCCGGTCGAGACGATCGGCGATGGACGTTGCTCTGCGTCGTGTTAGCCTTGACTTCACCGGTCGGCCTGTCTCGCCTACCTCTTCGCTCCGCCCGCATCCGGACTAACAATCACACACTTGTCCACCGGCAGGTTCTCCCGTATCCATCTCACCACGTTCGGCTCCGCATACAGGTTGTCAACCGGGATATTGAAAAATCCTTGAATCTGTGACGCATGAAGGTCCATTGTGATGACGTGATTGCAGCCAGCCGTCTGGAGCATGTTGGCGATCAGCTTGGCGCTGATCGGAGCGCGCGAGCGATCCTTTTTATCCTGACGAGCTTTTTAATTTCAGCATATATCCTTGAAGAAAAGGGGCGAGTAGAACGGGAGCAGTAAGATGTGATTCGGGAGTGCAGGCCGTCGCAACCCGTCAACTGCCTCATTTGGGGAAGCCATTGCCCTGGAAGTACTAACCATATGCTGTTCACGAGTCAGCATTCGCATATCGGAGAGTATGAGTGAAGGAAACTCGGAGTTGGCAGTCGTCTGGGAGAGACGCTTGACTCAACTCCTACACTTGAATCCAGGTATTTCTGGTGCAGGAAGTACGCACGGAAGTTGGGGATCACGGCAGTAATGCGCCGCGCCGAAGCTGTCCGGCACGCATGTATCATTATTAGCAACTCCATGAGGCCGTCGTTGATGTCGCCGGGAGCGGTCGATTGGAGGATAAAGACTGCAAATAGGCGCAACGGTCAGCAGTGCCCGAGATTCGTGCCTGGGATAACTTGCCATCCTCGTCTCTGACAGACTCGCCAACTGTGACGCTCGTCTCATGATTCGAGTAGTTGAGACTCATCGTCTTTGCGATTTCAATCCCTAGCCTGGAAGCATTGCGTCAGCTCCAGTTCAGGAATCTTTCTTCCAATAGCTTCGCATCGCACGCACCGATCCGCCACAAGGCGGGCCAGCATGGGATGGCTGTTGCCCGTGAGCAGCTTGATCTCGTTCATCATATCCCCCATGAGGTTGGTTGGTGGAAGAGATGAATGACTAGAAACGGTCCTCCCAGCAGGATCCCGGTCTCGGTGAGGGGTTTTTGCGAGTCGAGCGCGGGGCGGTTCGCGGTCTGCCAATGGAGGGGGCCCGTCTGGGCAGGGCGAAAAATAGCTGCAGGCCTTGATACAATTGGGACAGCAGGCAGGCAAATTCACAGATTTTCAGTAAATGCAATCAATGGAGGAAGAAGGCGAATCGCGCTTCCGAAAAAAAAAATGTTGGCCAGATTCGCCGAGTTCCGGCATGTGGAGAAGAGCTCCATGTTCACGGCTATTAATATTCTCCAGACGTGCATCAGCGCTGCTTGGCGCTGGTCACGTGGGACGAGCATTGTCTCCGACAACGGCCATCCAAGATGCCATCTACGCTAAAATCTCACCTTCTTTTTCTCATTATTTCCCCCCACATTTACCTAGTCGTTTCTGTTTAGACATTAATTATAGGATTATCTAGAAGGTTGCGTCGTGCTGCTAGCAGAGTGTCCGTTAAACCAAGAAAACCCCACTCAGGTAATTCAACTAATTAATCGTTTAAATCGTTTGACCTAATTACCCAGGACTTTCTTTTCGTTGTTTCAGGGGACAAATATTTTACTAACCAGACTAGAAATAAATAATTGCCACTTGCAGAAGTTATACACATCTTCGAGTAATATTATTAGATCAATTACATATAGCCGATGGTGACTGTAAAGTATCAACATGCTATTAATAGTGCAAACTAGCTAGTACCTACATGCTTTCACTACAGTACATACAGTAGAGAAAGAGAGAGAACAATTGGTTGTTGATTCAGGACTGGACCTTTTTATATTTTATATATAGTAGGTAGAACGACGATATCCACACTGTTTACAACAACAGGTTCTAATTGTAAAATTTAATTAATCCACTTTCTAGACAGGAGACGATGAAAGGGTGCGTCGACATGGAAGGATAAAAGGATCAACAGAGAAGCAGGGGGGAAAAAAAAAGATACAAGGAGAGAACGTTGTCACAGGCAAGATCAGCACGAAACTATAAAATACAGATGAACATGTGAGAATGCGATACTCGTCTAGAGACGGACGAACGCTCGTATACGGCTGGAATAATCCCATATAGTCCGAATGGCAGAGTCCAGAGTATACATAAGGAGTACACACCTGCAGCGAATTGTTTAGGCATACTCGAGCAAATGTGTAAGGGCAATAAGAAATTATTCAAAGATGCTTCAAGCAAGACACCTGCGCATGCAAGGCAAGAGCAAAGATGATGAATGCCTAGGCAATGAGGGGAACTTAATGAGCAAGAGCAACTCCAAGTCATGTGCATATTATAACACCCGATAGCATTCTTGGCAATACACAGGCAATTAAATCAGAACTATAAAGGGACAAAAAAAAGGCGATGACAAACTCGCAGTGAGAATATGTATGTGCAAACGGGATCAACCCAACGCCAACCAAGAAGAACAGTGCACTCATCCCAGGTTGACGGTACAGAAAAGCAAACAAAAATCGGGATAGTTACAATTCACGGTATGCAAAAGCCTTTTTTTCCCAGACCATGCAACTGACTGGCACGCCTATGGTACAGGATATCGTCCACTCCCTCGGAGCTCGGGGACGGACGGCATCATTCGCCCACCGCGTCCGCCGCGTGCATCACGTCCCCGGCCCCGACCAACTGGCAACTCAAAGTCGGGGTTGTTGCCCAGCAGCACGTCCTGTTCTGGTGCCCGTCGCGCTGGGGGTGGTTGCCAGAGTGGATTTATGGGCCGTTCCGATATGGAGGTAAAGTGACTGGTTTCGCTAGGAGCGGGTGAGCGACGCCCATCGGCGATATTCTCATCAGGGATGTTCGGTGGTGGAATCTCACCAGCAGGTCCCGGAACAAGAGCAGGGGGTACCGCGTTGCTGCTAGGCGCAGCTGGCGGGGGCTCTGGCTCTGCAAACCTCGGATCGACATCCTCATAATAATCACTTCCAGACTTGGGGCGTGCCCGGGGCGGCGAACGACTCATCGCGGGCTCCTCGATCGGCGCCTGCGAGCCTCCGGGACGTTCCATGTCACCCCAGGCAGCACGAGGTGGCACATATGGTCTGGTGATGACGATTAGCAGAAAGAACAGTGGCAGGGCAGAGAACCACTTACTCATTGCTGTACACACTGCTGGGGCTCCGAATGGAGTCACGATGCGAATCTCGTACCTCCTGAGAATTGACATCGGCGGGGTGGAAACTGGGATCACCAGGTTGAGGTGTCATCTCAATGGATTGGCCAGGTTGGGCTCCGTCGTCCTGCGGAGCATCCAACGGCATCGGGCCGGGAGAAGGACGACGCATGGGGCCACCAGGTAGCGGGCCACGAGGTCCGTATCCATAATCGCCAGGGTCAGGGCCATATCCTGGAGCATTGGGTGGTGGAGGACGACGGCCGGGGCCCGGTGGTCCGTAAGGATCGTATCCTCCCGGAGGGCCATCTCGCCTGGGAGGGTACCCCGGAGGAGGACCTCGACCTCGTCCCATCATCATCCCAGGAGGACCGCCACGCATCGGACCCATCGGGCCACCTCTGCCATTTGGTGGAGGACCTCTTGGACGACCACCATATGGCCCACCGCGTCCATAGCCTCCTCGCATTGGATAGCCACCTCTACCTCGTGGAGGGCCGAAACCTTGCGGTCCGCCTCTTCGAGGAGCCATGTTGCCATCAGAGTACTGATTTCGCAATCTTGGATCTGAAGGAGCGCGCGTCACACCTCCATCCGGACCATACGGCCCAGACGGAGGGGGAGGATTGCCGTATTCATCTCGAGATCCATATCGATTGAGTCCATCGTTTGGCATCCGCGGACCATTGTTGGGAGGTGGCCTTGAATTCAAAGGCACTTGGTCTTCTTCCTGACCGCGCGAGGACGCCTCGAAGGTAGCAAATGTGGAAGCTGATTGCGAAGCCGCAGTTGTGGAAAAGGGCATCTTCGGCTCAATATTCAAGGGAGGCGGCGTTTCAGCCTTTGGATACGCCGTCGCCGTCGCCGCCGCCGCCGCCGCCGCTTGTGCATTTTGTCGATTGTAGAAATTCTCACCGCTCATCTCCGCATTCTCGGCAATACGTCTCTTTCGTGCTTTCCGGCTCACCAGAGTGCGACGCATGGCACAAGTAACCACCCCGCAGGAAACCAGAATAATGGTAGCCGCCAGAACGATCCATCCTCCCCACTGCAAGCGCGGGACAAACAGAAGGATATCCACAAGGAAGGCCAGCAGCGAGACGAGAACCGTCGGGAGGAGAAGAATGAGCAAAGCAAGAAGGTATCGAGGGGAGTGGGATGGCGAGCGAAAGTGGGCGGCAGCTGCCATGATCAAGCAGACCAGGGTGAGGAATGCAGCCACCGGGTGCACAATCAGAATGGAGGAGAGAGAATTGCGGGCAGTGGTCGTAAAATTGAGATCGGGATCGCTGGTGTCCAGGATCCCATCTAGACACGCAGAAGTCAGCTTGATGTCTCGTTCGTCCAGAGTTGGAGAGAAGGGGATTTCGCACTGGTGTTATATCCCACCCGCAGACTGCTACATTGGGACTGCCTGCAGTAGCCGAAGACGCCAAAGTCGACATTTTGAAATGTCGCCAGCGGGATTCCCTTGATAATTGGCGTGGACAGGGTCGCCAGAAGCAGGAGGACAAAGGCAGCTAGGAGCAGGACGGTGAGGGGTGTTGCTGGCTTGAGCAACATGGCCGTGTCTGGACGGCGCGAGAATTGCGCCTGCCGGGACTATTTAAGTTGTAGCAGGCCAATGGCGCAAGGAAAGCGACAGGCGCGACCGAGACGGGATCAGAAAAGGGGTCATGGGGATGAAGGCATCGAAAATCGTCCTGTCTGGCCTGGTGATTCTCGAGATATTGGGTCTTTTGAGGGGGCGCAGAGAAGGGGGTCGCGTCTGAACCGGGGAACGTCGCGCTCTCAGAACGGGGAGAATCCTCTTGGAGGACGTCAATTCGGCCAGCGACAACGGAACAAGTGGAAAACGACGGTATTACGATAGTGTCGATGAAGAAAACACAAAAGAGCGAGAGAACGAAGGAATGGATGGTGATGGAGAGCGACGAGACGGGGCAGCAACTGCAAGGCGATGGTTTGGACGGGCGACGTTGAGCCGGGTGGAGACGGCGCGGGCGCGGAGAAGCACCAACCAAACAAGGCAGCTCGGAGTCGCCAATCTCACCCACAGACCAGACGAAGACGCCTTCTCGAAGGATTCGATCTTAGTATCGAGTCTAGCGACCGTATCTTCTACGAGTGAGCGCTGCCTGGTATCCTGCCAGCCTCTCCACCTCGCGATGCTCTTTCTGACTGCTTGCTGGTGACAGGAATCCGAAGTGGCTGAGTCTGGCCCGTTATTCGCGCAGCAAGATGCCTCGCAGTGGCCCTCCCCACCGGTCTCTCCACCGGGCATCAAACGACGAGTCGATTCGCTCGACCCTGGTCAGTCTGTTGGACTGTCGTCCAAGCACGATCCACTTGGGATGCCTGTCAGAATCCAGATGACAGAGGAGCCTCCATTACAAACGCGCCCTCGTTGCTCTGAGCAGTAATACTCATGCGTGACCTCTCCAGATTCCTCCTGTCCTCGCGGGGAGGATATTGCGCGGCACAGACCTTGAGACGAAATGTGGCGGCGCCATCGTCTACGTTCAGTCTCAGGCTTGCCGTGTGTCAGCAGTGAAAAGTGCCCCTCTGCTCCCGTCGTTGCTTACCAGGACGAGATGTCAAATTTTCAATTCTGCGATGGCTGCATGCTAAAATGACACCACTGTATACTCCGTATACTGTATAATGAATGTCCTCTAAGACATCTGCCATCCTCAACCAGATGCCTAACAGCATCAGCGCCTGGTGATGAGGGGTATCCTTCATTCAGCCTTGGTTGGTTCCGGAAATTAAAGCAGCCACCTGATCTCCTGTCCCCACCACAGAGCTTGCAATCTTACGAGCACCAGCTTTCGGTGAAGCTGGTGATAACACGTGTAGTACCAAGTACGGGATTTTCCTAGGAATACGGAGTACAGAGCTATCCAAAGGCCTGACCAGACTGTCAAACTCGTTGCAGAAGAGCCGAAAATGACAAAGAATTCCCGGGAAATGCTCCACTCCGTCTGGCGCTTGGATGCGTCTAAGCTTCGGCTGGCCAATCGGAAAGCGGCTTGCTTTCGTCCGGTCTCTGCGTGATCTCGTCCCATGTCAATCAGGGGAATTACCACCGGAAGACTCCGTATAAACATCAGAAAGAACGGCATCTTTATGACAGGACATACACTCCTTCGACAGAGGACAGACAAAGAATATGTACTAGAAATCCATCGCTTATTCAAACCAACTCAGCTACTGAATCTGTAAGACAAAGTGAATTGGGACAGTTATCCATGAAAGAGCTTTAATGCCTAATCCGGACAATATGGATGCGCTTCTTAGTCTGGAATCGCTGCGATTGTCTACAAGCCACAGCTGGGGACTTTCATCCAATGTCCTGGGCATAAACCCTATGATGCCAGATTTCAATGACACCCTGAGTTATGGAATATGCCTGGATGTGCGATGCTTTTTTGAGTATGTGAATATTCTACAATAGGGTATTTTGATATGTTGCCATGGATTGCCTGATTTTTTTAAGCCAAAAGTTATGCTTCAGATAGTCGTTCAGATATGCTACACCACCGGTTCATCCATGTCTCTCTCCATTGTTCCTTATACCACTTGTGAACTCTTCACATTTCCTTGTCTCATAAGTTAAGACACATGCCGCACATTGTCTCTCATGCTTTAGATTCTGTTTCTGTCGTCATTGGACCATATGCTCGCGATTTATCACATATATAAATCGTTGCCATGGTGCCGATAGTCGTCACGGAGCAGATGAACAGCCTCACACGCGATATCAACGACTAAGCGGCTTGTTATATCTTCTCATGTTGACGTGTCTCTTGAAATCTTTTCACTTACCTTTCAACTCCCATCTCCAACCATTGCTGCACATCGACTTCCAACAAGCCTCTCTGACCGAAGTCAAGATGAATCAGGAGGTGGAGAGGCACTTGGCTCTCATTCCAAAGCACCTCCGTCAGCAAGGTTCTTCCCTGCTCTCGCGAGCGCGCGCCATGAGGTGAAGACTACCCCGCTGTTTCAAGCAAGGTCAAGGCGGTGCTCCAGGACTTGGAAGCGGGCGCGGAGGTGTTTTCCCAGTACGGAGTTCTTGGGATCCGTTTGGAGACGTATGGCAACGGACCACAGTCTGGTTCCAGCGCGGACTCTGAGCCAGAGAGGAACCGGCTCATCTATGGAAATATCACTGCGCCTTGGTCGGCCTTTATCTGTGGTAGTCAAGGAAGTGGTAAGAGCCATACTCTCTCGTGTCTGCTTGAAAATGCACTCCTCTCTCCGAGCAAAACCGGAACTATCACCAATCCGCTTGCTGCGATTGTTTTTCATTATGACAAGTTCACTGCCTTCGCCAGTACTCAGTTGTGCGAGGCAGCCTATCTTTGCTCGGCCGGAATCCCGGTCCGCGTGCTTGTCTCGCCTAGCAATTTTCATGCCATGCAGAGACAGTATGCCAACTTGCCGGGTATTCCAGCCTCAGCGCCCAAGCCCAAGGTTGTCCCGATGTACTTTCGGGAACAGCACTTGAACATCGCAATGATGAAAACCCTGATGGGAGTGGGAGGCGGAGAGAACAACACCCCGTTGTACATGGAGGCGAGCAAACTCATCAGATACCTTCCTTGCGCTCGAGACACTAACTTCTGTATCTAGGTGGTCACGAAAATCCTTCGGGACATGGCTCGCGAGTCGCGCGGTTCTCCCGGACTTAATTATCGTTTGTTCAAGAAGCGCCTTGAGGCGGAAAGATTCATACGCGGTCAAGATGCACCCCTGAAGATGCGTCTCCAACTACTGGAATCTTTCCTCGTGCTCCCCGGCGAAGACAAGGGAGTCCCAAAGGATACATGGAAATTCAATCCCGGCACCTTGACAATCATTGACCTGAGTTGCCCATTTGTCGACGCGGATGACGCGTGTGCTCTGTTTAATATATGTCTTTCACTGTTTCTCGAAAATCGTCACGACGGGGGTCGTCTGGTAGCACTTGATGAGGCGCACAAGGTACGTAGTTATCTACGTTGCTTTAGTTGATAAAGCGCTTTTAAAACTGACATGTTATTCCCAGTTTTTGACCACCAACTCTAGTGAAGCTGTGGAATTTACCGAGACCCTCCTCTCCGTTATCCGACAGCAGCGACACCTGGCAACTCGGGTCGTGATCGCGACTCAGGAACCGACTCTCTCGCCAAGTCTCCTGGACTTGTGCAACGTGACCATCGTTCACCGATTCACTTCCCCGGCTTGGTTCAAGGCCCTCGAGGGACATCTTGCTGGAGCTGTCATTGGAAAATATCGTGGTGGAAAGAAAGCTGCTGAAGGGGACGAAGGAGAGCCACTTCGCCTCTTTGACCAGATCGTGAGGCTGACCACCGGCGAGGCATTGGTGTTCAGTCCTACTGCGATGCTGGATGTTGCGGATGAGGCCGATGACAGTTCGAACACCGACGGCAGCAATGAGTGGCGCTCGGACAGTGACACTTCGGCCGAGTCTATGCCTACCTTTCAGGAGCTTGGTCCGCGGTATGTGAGGGTGAGAGTCCGCGCGCGCATTACCGTGGATGGTGGTCGCAGCATTCTCGCTGAGTGAAGTGCACCATACGTCTGTTGGTATTTCGATGTCGGATATCCCTCATCATCAGCGCAATTGGTGAGATAGGGTTGGACTCATAGATGTTGACTACGAGAGATTCAAGATAATTCTGTGGTGGTAATATCGAGTAGATCCTAGCATCCAAAAAAGAGAAATGCAAAATTCCTACTAGTTAAGTATATTTCGTTGATGCTGGTATTGGAGTAGTCCTCCCTAGTATGATTTTATATATTGGCAAATCTGTATTCAAACCTTTCATTGCTGTCAGTGTTAGTATCTCTCGATTCTGTACTGCATGGGCAAAAATTTTTCATTGAAAAAAGAATCCAAAGAGGAAGTATCCCACGCCCATTATTCGTTCTTTGTCTCAATCTGCGGTATAGAAGAGATGAGAGGCGGGGCGGAGGTGATGGGGTATGACGTCGACCGGACCTTCCCAGTCTGCTCTCCCAAACTCACACTAACACAAAGATCTTAAATCCTCATTTACGATGATATCCAGCAGCCACTCGGACTGTGAGGGCTGCCGCTGGCACTGAATCCGTAGTGCTGGATGGCTTTTATTGCCTGTCATCGATCTCCCCATCTTGGGGAGAACCAGAAGCTTCTGGGTGCTCAGCAATTGCCCACTGACTCGATACTATGAATGATCCTGGTCTTGACCCCTCTATTGCCGATGCGGCCAGTGAGGCCGACAGAAATGAGTCAAGCGACCCTTCGAATCCTGAAGCCGACGAATCTGAAACATATCTGCATTGGGCTGCGGAGGATAGGGAGCTGGCTCAATTCCTGCAACCGGCAAGATGGTGGATCGCGAGTACAGAAATACCGTTGCTGGCGGTAGGTGGAATGGAATCCGCAATGAGCACGCTTCTTTTGCTGATATGCTGCTTGAGGCCACGTTTGGTCCCATGGCCAATGCCTTTAGTATCTGTTCCCTTTCGCAGACTTGGAGGATGGTTGTTCCTCCAGGCCTGGGACCCGACCAAGGAAGAGATATCAGCGATCCAAGTTGGTTAGTTCTTCGGTTTTCTTGAACGATCCGGAATATATCTCGGACAGAAGGCTAAGGAGCTCTTCAGGGTCATTGCTGTCAATGCTGTCTCCCTTGCGTGCGCCTTGATCGCGAATCTGTGCTTGCTGGTAACGATGGCGCGGCGCCTCGCATTTTCCATCGCGCAGCCCATTGTCATCGTGGGATGGTACATCTCTTCGCTGCTCCTAATCTGTATACTTGCAATCGTCTCTCATGACGTCCACTCGTCGGCAAACGTCAACCGGCAGCTGACGCAGGGGTATTACTATGGCGCAATTGCAGCCGCTCTATATTTTATTCTTTCTTCGGTTCTGACCTTCACACTTTACGGAGCATATAAGGGACACTACGAGCGGGAGTTCAGACTGACGAAAAGTCAAAGGACGCTAATGGTGCAAACGATTGGTTTCTTGGTCTATATGCTGTTGGGATCGGCGGTCTACTCGCATATAGAAGGTTGGAGATACACAGATGCCGTGTACTGGACTGACTTTACCCTACTCACTATCGGCCTGGGCCAACCGGCACCACGGACCCATTTGGGACGTGGTTTGTTATTTCCGTATGCATTCGGAGGGATTGTTATCATTGGTATCGTGATTGGCTCTGTTCGGGCACTAGTGCTGGAAAGAAGCAAGAATAAGATGAGCAACCGTTTGATTGAAAAGACTCGCAGGTTTCTTGCGAAGAGGATGACATCGACCGACAAAAGAAGCATCTTCAATATCGTTCCGAGTCCGGCAGACCCAGACCTGGATGAGCAGGAGCGGCGGAGACGTGAGTTCCACGCCATGCGCAAGGTGCGTCAAATTGCCGACACAGAACATCGATGGCTGTCCTTACTTGCCTCAACAATAGCTGTTCTCACTCTCTGGTGTATTGGAGCGGTGATCTTCTGGCGCGCCGAGGGGACCCAGAGATGGTCATACTTCCAAGCCTTGTACTTCTCCTACACGAGTCTTCTGACCATCGGATATGGGGATTTCTATCCCATGAGTAACTGGGGCAGGTCCTTTTTCGTCTTCTGGTCTCTGTCGGCAGTGCCCACCATGACCATCTTTATTTCGAACCTCGGCGATACTTTTGTCAAAAAGTTCAAAGACTTCGCAAACTTGCTTGGTGAATTGACCATTTTGCCGGGAGAGGACGGCTTGCGGGAACGGTTGAAGGGAATGCTTCGCACGTCCTGGACCTCGAACCTGTTTGACACTAAGAAAGAAGAGGAGGAGGAGGAGCCTGAAACGCGTGAGGACCCTCACATTGAGCGAGCAGAGCAAGCGTTAGAACAGGAGCAGCTCCGGGAGCAAGAAGAGGCGCACGAGCGAGGCGATATCGTTGCCGAAAATATCCACCATTACCAGTATCTGCTCGTACGGGAGCTGCGAAAGATGTTCAAATATATCAACACCACGCCGCCCAAACAGTTTGACTACGAGGAATGGGCGTATTACCTCAAACTGTTGGGCGAAGACGAGTCTGTTTCGGAGAGGCATCGAACTCCCGGAGTGGACGACGTTGTGCCCGCAGCGCTGCCAGAAGATGTCCAGAATGATGTCCAGGAGAGAGCTGGAAAACGAGGCCGATGGAGCTGGATTGGCCACCGGAGTCCACTGCTAGGAGACAGGGAAGAAGCAGAGTGGCTTTTGGACGCACTGGCGTACAAGTTGGAGACAGAGCTGAAGAGGCTGAGTGAGGAATACAAGCGCAATCAGCAACAGTCTGAGCAGCAAAAAGCGGATCAGCAAAAATCGGATGACTCGGGAGATTCACAGAAGACCAGCGAGGATTCTCAGTGATGAAAGACCCAGTATATCAAGTATAAGATGATTCTATGACATTTGTTTAATCACATGTTTTATTCCTTCACATTCTGTTTTACTCATCTGAGGACATTTGGATGCGGAAGCTTTGCAGTCATAAGGAGTCATAAGGCCATCCGAGCGACCCCCATCCACTTCCAACTTGACATCTAAGTGCACGCTTTGCGACACCTATACGACACCCAACCTATATAGGATTTCTCAGCGAGAGCGTGTCTAGAAATCATGTGGCATCTGTCAGCGTGCTGCCAGCCCATGCTCCAGAACTCAGCTTTTCTCAATCTTAGGCCACACCGTCTGAGAAGGCGCAAGAGTTCTGACTCCATTCCTGTGCCCTGAGACTGTTGATTCTCCATTTTGTCAACAGACTGGCCATAAAACTGTTTTGTTTGTGCTATTACACGTGCTGTGATCTTTGTTTATTGTGGATATTCACGTCAACAACAGTGGCTGCACCTGTACAGGTGACGGAGGCCCTCACAGCTGACAGAGAGCTTTGTCCAGGCTCTTTTATCACTGCTTCAGACAGCGCCATCCTCTTCTTCTTTGATGTCATGATGGAAGAAAATACACTGGCATTCCTTCCTCTGCAGCCTGGAGGCACAGCAACTGCTGAAGCGCTGCCGGTTCCCACAATTATCCTAACCTACATGCCTGGGGCATCTCTTCCAGCTTTCACTGTCCTCTCCTCTCCGGGAGGTTCGATTATCTCGGCCCCTGGGATGGGTGAAAGACCGAATAAGCTGCCCGAGTTCGCGATTATCATCATCATCGTTGCAGGAACGATCTTTCTCGTATCGCTTTGTACCTTCGTCTGGATGCTTTATCGTCGCAGGGTTCGATCGCGAGGACAACGAATCCCAGAACAGACGCCTCGACGCGAAGACGGACGTGGAAATGCCAATGAGGATTTGGGGATGAATCCTGGCCCGCCGCCAGAATTTCCTATACAGATAACGACGGACGGGACAACTCCAATCACCCACAATTACTTGCAGGAAAGTCGACAGGAAAGCTTGCAAAGCGTTTATGCGAGAAACCTCCTTCTCCACTACATAGGAAGGAGAAGGACCATTAACAATCAAGCGCAAGCTCGTTCCGGCCCAACAGGCTCCAGTGAGTCGTCTTTCTCAGGGCAGCCTGCCAATATTCCACGTCCTCAACCGGCCCGAACGTCACGCAGATACGACTCTGTGATTTCGTCGATTCTCAACCGGTATGCACGGACTTCCATGAGACGGTCTCAGATGTCTACTATAGACGAAGTCGAGCTCTCTGATTTCGGTCGCCGAAGAGAATATTCTACCTCGCTGGAGGATGATAGGGCATCTGGGCATAGCCGCCAGGTTCTGATTCCACGGCTGGGATCCGATAGAGGATTTGCGACAGTGACATCTGACACACACAGCACTGGAGTCAGTACGGACAGTGCACCGGTTCCTCACTGGCATGACCGGCGAAATTCAGTGATCTCAGATATCAGTTCGCATGATCCGAACTATATTCTGAAGCCGAAAGTCTATGAATATGAGGCGACGACGAGCAAGTCGCTCGATCTTTACGAGCATCAGGACTTGCCGGATTTCAAGCATAGAACTGATGAGAATTTGTCCTCCGAACACTACCCCTATCCCAGTCGACAGCCATGCAGGAACGAAGGACAGGATGATGCAGCTGCTACAGATACACAGGTTGAGAACACCCGACGCGAGGTGAGCAGTGTTCACCAAGACAATGGTAGCACGTCTAGGGATGAGCCACGCGGTCGTGGAGTTAGAGCAGGAGTCGGGTTTTCGGAGGACATGGAGGCTGGTTTGAGGCCACAACCTCTGACTCTCCGCGAACCGAGTTCGCAGCAGTTGCCCAGCCTGCGCTCTGAACGAAGCTCAGAGACGCCATATTCCCTGACTCGCTCCGTGGGACGGTACTGGGATCAGAGTTCGTCATCAAGAAACCCCGAAGGGGCTTCGACGACAACGGTCCAGACGCACTACCAGGCGCGCACCCACGCGCATCCATCGAGCAGCCTGACGGACCTCAGCGCTGACGAACAGGCCAGGCACATAGCTAGACAGGCGAGCAGGGAGTATTTCGTGAGGGAAATGCAGCGATTGAGAGAGGAGGACTCTCAGCGTCGCGCTCCGGCCACAACTCGTCCTGACGACAGCAATCAGGAAGTTGACATTGATCTCCCGATCCAGAATTTCGAAGAAGATGAAGAGTCTCTCGTTGATCCAGCCCTCGCTATTCCGAGAACCACCGCGCAGTCAGGTGCTGGTAACGACAGCAATGATCCCCGTGGCGATAATAATAACCATGGCAATGATAATACTGAAGTGAGGATCAACTCGCGAAGGGGCAGACACACCATGGCACCGTACCATCCCGGTCAAAGCCAGCATGCTCGCCACGGCGACAGCAACAGCAACCTATTCGTCGACGACCGCATCCCCAATCGCTTCCAGTCCGCCGTATCACGAGACATCGAGTCGATGATCCTAGAAGAAGGGGTGAGCATCTTCAGTCCAAGCATCTACTCGCGCTTCGAGGCCGAGACGGGGACGCTGGCGACGCGTGACGAGGGGAATGATGGGCCGAGGAGGGGAATTTTGACCCTGGAGGATTTCCGTCGTTGTGTTCGGGCGGCGAGGGCGGAGCAGGGGGGAGATGTGGATGAAGAGGAAGAAGAGGAGGAGGAGGAGGAGGAGGAGGAGGAGGAAGGAAGAAAATGAGCTCTACATGCAGGGAAAGAAATGCAGTGCAATGGAATTGTTTTAATTAATAATGAAAGAAGTATTTATGTACAGTACGGTATGTCAGTCGATTACTTCATTAGTTATCAGTTAGTTAGTTAGTGGATTGATTACTGCAGTAATGAAATCAATAACGATCAAATTTAATAATAATAATAACATAATAATAAGCAATCAGGGCGCGCCCGAACCCTAGATTCTTTCACTTCGATATCTATCGATTCAGTCGAAATCAGACAAAAAAAACACCTTTCGAGATTCTCGAAAGATATAGATAGATAGATAAGTAGATATATAAATTTCTACTGCTCGGGCGCGCCAGGAAGGCTGATTATATTATATCTATAGATAGATAGATAGGAGGCGCATGCCCCCAGTTGGTGTTATTTATACTATAGATTAGATAGATAGATATAGAGATATTAATATTAGATAGATCGTAGCAAATCATTCGAGTTTTTTTTTTCAATTTTTGGCTAGCCGGGCGAATTTTGCCTACGTAGCCTAGAGTAGATAGATTACTAGAGTAGATTAGAGTAGATTAGATTACCGGGAGATAACAGATACTGCTTAGATATGATGTCCAGGCGGGCGCTGGTGTCAGATTATATCAGTGCTCTATTTCCATTTTTTGAATAATAAGAGAATGAGTAAGAGAATGTAATTGTAATGTAATGTATAGAGATATGGAGATAGATTATTACTAAGGAAGGAAGGAAGGGGAAGGGAAAAGAGGCAAGAGAAAATAAAAAAAAACAAAAAGGAGAATGAAGGGTCGAAGAAGAGATTAAGTATCGCTGGCATTATTGTAGAATCTAACTTCATAGCTCCACAATATCATTGCATAATATAATCCAATCGGATAATAATAATAATAAACTGAACAAAGAGTAAAACAGATACTGAAGGGGAATATTAAGAATATTAACAATGCGAAACTAGAAATGAAGACAAATAGATTAGGTAAAGATAATAAAAAAATAAAATGAAACAGATAAAAAGAAATGCAATGAACCAATTATTAATAAATCAAACAAGAAGCCACCCAATCCCACGCCATAATTCCCACACCTGTGACCATACAGTATAGTACGGCACAGTATTGTATAGTCCATCACTCAAACAGACTGACAACGTATCCGCAGTCTTCTCGAGGACGCTGGCTCAGGCTGCAAGAGCGGCCATTGGCGCAGTCGCCTTCTTGCATGGCTCTGTCCCTGTCTCTGTCTCTGTCCTTGTCTCTGACCCTATCTCTGTCCTCGTTCTGGTCTTGGACTTGGTTGTGCGCGTGATTCGAGACAGTATGTCCGCGCGTACATGTGTTCTCTTTCTTCTTCGTATTCGTTCTTGTTCTTGTTCTTGTTCTTGTTCGTCGCCGTGACACGCGAAGGAGCTCGAGGAGGGAGAGGAAAACGAGAACAGGGAAAAGCAGAATATGGACCGCCCGCGGAGGAAGATACGATGACGATGACGATGACGGCCAGAGAAAATGCGATTGACGAAGGCGAGTGCTTGGATGGTTGTCTTTTATATAGTGGTAACGAGGAAGATGATGAGGTTAGTGTTATGTATATAATGTATAATATCATATATCATTTATATGTCGTATGGATGTTGTTCGCTTGCTCGCTTGTCAAAGCCGAAAATATGGGAGTGAAGGCATTGATAAATGGAGATAGGTGACCGAGGGAGGAGGAACTTGTTAGTTGAACTCACGTTCTTGATGAGGTTTTAAACGCCATTTTTCCTCAAGAATTAAGTGAATAAAGCAAAGAAAAGTTTTTTTAAAAAAAAAAAGAAAGAAAGAAAAAAGGTATTTCTCGACGACGGATCACGACCAGAGGACACGAGATGGAAGGCTAAGAGAAAGACTGACTGACTGATGTCTGCGGTATAAGTAAGACATCTCCATCCACGTTTGTCGATTATTATCGATATTGATTCAAGGGAGAGATCGATCCGGACTTACTGAATGAGGGAAGCTCTTCGAGATAGATATATGACTAGAGAGGCATATAGATAGATCGACAGAGAAAAGAAAAGAAAAGAAGGACAGCAAGCGGATAATCCACTGCTCTGCTACGCTTTTCTCGATAGGTTCTGATGCGATATGAGAGGTGATTTGAATTGACTTCTTTCTTGGTAGAAACGCGTAGGACAAGTAGTCGATGAAGAGAGAGGAATGAGGAATAGAGACGGTGATTCTTCTAGTACTCGCTCGCAGATACGCGATACGCGTTGAAGGACCCCGGCCACAGGTCGTAGGACTAGGTTTCAGTGCGGCTGCGCATGCTGTTGTGTTGTGGATAGGGAACTGCATAACGATGAAATGTCATCCGGCAGGAAATGATGTAGACTCCAGTCATTGGACAGAACAAGACAGCAGGAACAACAAGACAAGGACTGTATGATTACGACGCTGTATTGACCATTGCATTGCATGGCATCTGTCTATGTGTGCAGCTAAAATCCTATCCTAGTCAGGATGGATGGATGGATGAAAGAAAAGAAAACAAGCAGCAATATCAAGAATGCGAAACCAGATCCGCAGAAGAGTATCTGTGTATAGATGCATGCAACAAGGACTGCCTGAAAGTCTGTGTTGGAAAGAAACAAAGTCCGACTGGCCGCCCTGCGGAGTCGGGTTGTAAAGAAGCAATTGCTTAAAAGAAAAGAAAAAGAACGAAAAAAGGCCGACTAATTAGTGTACATATCTACAGGTGACAGGGAATGCATGCTGTCAGCCTGATATTAAGACCCAGAGAAGGAAGAAAATCTAGTCAAGTTAGCAAGTCCTCAGTATACCAAATAACTGATGTGATACTCACCATCAACACGCCAAACATCTTCGCAATAAGCCACCGGTTCCCAGACACTCTCGACCAGTATTTCATCAGCTCGCGCTGCGCCCCCTCCACGTTGTCCACCACATCCTCTGTATTCGCGTCAATCCGCTGAATCATCTCCGACTGTTCGCTGACCATGGCCGCCAGCTGACTGAAAATCCCGCCCAGCTCGTTAATCGTCCGCTCAATCGCCTCGATAGCTTCCCCTCGCGCCTGGATATACGAATTGTTGGGCTGAGCCTCTTCCATCATGAGAAGCTGCTGATCCGACGTCACGCGCCCCGGCTGTCCCAACACCGAACTCGACGAAGGTTCCAGCGTGAGCAGATCGGATCCACCACTCTTGTATCCTGGCTGAGGCGTTTTCCTTCCTGGGGCATTGTACAACGGAGAATCCAAGCGCTGGGGATCCAAGGCGGCCTGAGACTTGGACGAGACGGACGACACGAAGTTCTCCGTACGGGACCGCGACGCTTGGATGTTCTTGGTCCGCACCTCGAGAACCTCTTTGAAGTTGGCGCCCACATCAGCGAGCTTGCCTTGCAACATCACGACGACCTGATTCGAGTCAGCTTCATCCCAGCCACTCGTCGCGGAGTCTTACATTGTCATTGTGCTCTCCTTCCTGGTCCGTCTTGCTGCGGCTCGACTTGGGATGCTGTGACTGCGTGAGTGCCTGCAGCGCAGCGATCTGAGAGTTCAGCGACGCCAGATCCTGCTTAATCACGTATGTCAACTCGGAGATTTCGACTGGTCGGTCGTCGAACAGCGTCTTTCGTTTTGCCACTGCGATAGTTAGTTGGTCCTTCTAAAGTAAAAAGAACAGGCACCTACACTCGGCTAGTCTCTGCAATTTTGCCGTCGTGCTGGTGATGCCTCGTCCAATCTCTGCAGCCTTCCTAGCAAATTCCGACCTCGCTACTCTCTTGCCCTGACCCGGCGCTGCGCTACCGTTGGCCTGTTGTCGCTGCGATTCCGATAGCAATGCCTGACGCTGAGCCCCGACTTTGTTCGACGCCAAGCGCTTCTGGGCCTGGCTCAGAATGGACCGGAACTCGGGTGTCCGGTCCTGGATGGAGGTTCCCGTCATGTTGATGTCGACAAGGGCATGAACTCAGGTTGGATGGGTAAGTCGCTGTGGCAGCAGTTGCAACCGCCGTCGGGATTGTTGTCTGCAGAGGCTCAGCGGAAGCGGGCGACGTGTCCAGTCGGTGAGCGACTCGAGAGTGCACAGAGAAAAACACCGCGACGCCAGATCAGAGAAGCAATCAGGGCACTCAGGCCAGGCTGCTGGCGCAACTGGCGACGATAAGATATCGCGGTGCTGGCAGCAAGATGAGACGAGGCGAGGCGTTCGCTGTCCGCGCACGGGGTTGTCCCGGCCCAAACGGGAATAGCGTGCTGTTCCCAAAATAGACACGCACGTGATTCCGTCGGGCGATAACCTCCGACTACAAGACTCGACTCCGATGCCTGCGTACGGAGTACCACAGCAGACGGGACAATGCAGCGGAATGCTCACTGCTGAGCAGATCGAGGCTTCTCTGTGACTCTGTCCCTCCGATGCGTTGATCTCCCAGCTGGCGCTGTCTGGCGGTGTCACGGTCGCAGCGCGGCTGGGCAGTTGGCAAGCTCCGCACCCGCTGACTGGGGCAGTCTTGGCCCCCTCAGCCTCGCGACCGCCCGTCCAGCTCACCTCTGCTGCAAAGTGTCATTTCATCTGATTCCCTTCCCTTCCTTCTTGCCTGAGTCCCGTTTTTCTTCCTCTCAGCGGGCTGGTCCGGCTCGCCTCCAGCCTCTAGATTGTGTTTCGATTAGCTTTCCAACGAGCCAAAGTCGACCGCTAGATGTGCTGTGGTCGCTGCTGATGCTCGCTGCTGCATTGCCGTGATCTCGAGTCCGCAATGTCGGGTCATTACCAGCGCCCTTTTCCCCCAGATCGCCAGGGATCGTACGTTGCTTGATCTCACTGCTGGCTTTGCGCTGCTCTCTGTACAGTACATCTGCTAACGTGTTCATCTGTAGATTTCAGGGAAGCACTGGGAGTCCGCTATCTCCGACTCCTTCCAACGTCCCCGTCTCCTTCAAAACAAATGTCAATCGGACGAAGACGAAGCGATGGGTAGAGGCCAAGTCGTATTCCTACGATGGAGGCGACTGGGGTGGCGATGATGACTACGAGGAGGAAACTCCTCCTGTACCCGCTCCGCCAGCAGGCCGTCGAGATGACTCCCGCTCGCAGTCGAGTAGCGCGCCTCGCTCTGGAGATCGATCTCTCTCACGAGATCGATTAGGAGGCAACGATCGACGCAACGAGGCTCCCAGTCAATTGTCCTCGGACAAACCAGCGGACGCTCCCAGGGAAAGCGTCGACTCCTCCGCAGCCAAACCTCCCACCTTCGTTCGACCTGCGGACATTTATAAGCGCATGCAGGAAGAGAGAGAAAAGGAGCAGCAGAACCGCGAACAGGATGCATTATCCCCTGGCGACACTACGTCGGCGCCGTCCCAGGCTGGTCCGTCAGTTTCGTTACCCGAGTTGAAACGAATGTCAGGTTTCGGTTCGGATTTCTTGAGTGGCACAAACCAGTCCAGTCAGGAGACACAGCCGGCGGAGAACGCCGCAGCCGGTCAAGAGCAGGGTTTACACCACAATCCTTCCCTTGGATTCCGGTCTGTGGTCAATCAGGCGTTCGATGTTCCGGAAACACCGAGCTCCACGGTCGACAGCGTGGTCAGGTCAAACAGCGACAGCACCTCGGTAATCAGTCCCATCACAAGCAACCGTATTCTGGACAACGAAAAGACACCGACCATCACCGAGGAACCTGCGGAAATGGCCCCCGCAGCTTTTCAGCCGGGGTATCGACGGGACTTGACAGTCCCCGCCCCTGGAAATGGGCCAGATAAAGTGCCTGCGGTATCCACCGCCGAAAACCTCCCTCAAGCAGAACTCGCTGAGACATCCACCGTGACTCCCTCACAATCTCAAGACAGTCTCGATGCAAACCAGGCTCAGAGGGAGTCAGATCCGGATAACGGGACGACCCATGCTCCGTCCCCAGAACCGACGAAGGCTGCTCACGAAAGCGTTCCTAGCGGTGATGCCCAGGCTGACACTCACGTTCTCAAGTCCATTGAGTCCGATGACCAGCCTGAGACGGAACATAAAAAATGCATATGCACCCACGCCTCTGCGGATTCCTGCAGAGCCACAATCCCAACAGGGCTCTTCCACGGGTACTATTCCAGAAATCCTACCATCAATGAGCACCGAGGCTTCACCGCAAGACCTGGAGAGCGACCGGCTGCGGAAGGAGATTATTCGGTCCCTGAGTCCAGAATCGCCGGAGACTAAGGGCTCGTCAACACAGGCGCCGCAGGCGGAGCACCTCGAGCCACGACCCCGGTATGACAGTACCTATCTTCCTACGGAATATGACAGCTATTGGAACGAGGAGCAGGACATTACTCCTACTAGTCCTCTGCACCCCAAGCCCCCGGCGTCGTCCAAGGAGCCTCTTACCCTCACCATCAATCCTAAGCCTTCGAATGAGGCAGCATCCACGGAACGTGCCGATGATGCTGATGTCTCTGACTCTCAAAATCCTCAACTAAAGAAGCGCTTTTCATGGGAAGAGTCTGATGATTCCGAGGAAGATATTCTTGAAGACCCTTCGCAACCTTCAGAACCTGTGCCGCCCTTTCAGACGTCTGAAAAGGAGTCTCAATCTGAAGAGAAAGCGGCTGCGCCCAATCCAGAAGATGCTGGAGCTCTCAGTGTTCCAAGCAATCAAGTAGAGAAAGAGAAAGAGAAAGAGACCGTCACAAGTCAACCTGAACCTTCACATAACCAGCAGCTTTCACAGGTTTCCGGTCAACCGGGCAGCGAGCCGAAACTACCCGGGTTTCGCCAGATTCTGGAGATTAAGTCTCAAGAGAAGAGAATTCAAACCTTCAAGGAGACAAGAGAACAGTTTGCAGTCATCGACACAGGCTTGGCTAACTGGATTCGGTCAACCGCTGACGCTCTCCCAGAACATGCCGACCTGGTGCAACGCGACGGCCACCTTCCAGCTGGAGCTACCAGGCCTGTGCCTTCCAGAGCTAAGTTCCCGAAGTTCTCTTCGCTTGGAAATCTCTCGCTAGCGACGCTTGACGAAGCTGCCGGCGCAGGTCACGCGAGGCGTCCGTCCGGTGCTCCTCTCAGCGGTATGATCAACATGCAGAACGTCGAATCGAAAGGGAAGGATCTGCTTCACAGTGCTGGGGTGCTCGGTGGTAAGGCTGGTGGGGCAGCGCGAGGTTTCTTTGCCAAGGGCAAGAGTAAATTGCGAGGGAGCGGAGGCGTCGACAAGGTAGATTGATTTTCTTTCTGGACTTGGCCCGCATCTTGTGCGCGCGTGGATCATTTGCTTTTCATGACTTCTAGCGGGTTGGGCGTCTATATACCCCTTTTTTACCTTTCCTGCCTGAACTCTTCCTTTTTTTTTCTCTCTCTTACCTTGTTTGTCAGTAGAATCGGCCAATTGGGCATATCGATGGGATATGGGGCAATTTCTATGTGTACTTGTATCTGTCAATTACTTTTTCCATCAAATCTTGAATTTCATGTTTCTAATTTGTTGGCTGTTTTGTAGGGGTCTTTGTCGATATTTGGCCATCGCAGGAGCTTGCAGCTGGACGATGTGCCCAAGATATCCAACCTAGATCGAGAGAAGCCATCTGGCGAGCCATCTGGCGAGCCATCTGACAAGCCGTCTGACGAGCCGTCTGGTAACTCATCTGGCAAGCTATCCCCCCAGCGCCTTTCGGTCAAATCTGGAGGCGTGCCTCCTCGGCTTCCTTCATTTAGATTCCATGAGAAACAGTCCTTTTCGCAGTCGTTTATTGACACCGCTGCTTTCTCAACAAACAACGCAGTTCCTCCCCGTGCTTACTCAGCGCAAGGATTTTACGACCAGGAAGCACGGCGGAAATCGCTACTGCCGGTCTCCGAGGAGCCCTCTTTGTGGACGAGGTCAGAGACGCCATCCATCGATAGTTCTTTGACTCGGCGGATGATGCAATCCGAGGGCGTCACGGAGAATACTGGGTCGTCGCTCAAGAATCAGCCTGTGGCCGATCTATATTCAGCTGAGCGAGATCAAGATTCGTGGAGACCATCGAATCAAGGCCTCTCTGGAGAGAACCGCTCCGATTTCCCAAAGTCTCAACTGGACATCTCAACAGGACGTGATTCTCCACGTCTATCCCTGCCTCGTCTTCCGGCTCTGGATTTAAATTTTTCTGAGACTCCGGGTATTCGAGATTCCGCATTGAACGCGGAGTCTAGCCCCGATTCAATAATTCACCTGACAGATTGCGAATTCGACGATCCGCCTAGGAATAATAGGACATGGAAGCGCAATGCAGATTCCAACTACGGAACATCCCGTCCAGTGTCGCCGGAGAACCTCAGAGTATCGCCCCTGCCAGAGGGAAGGGACAGACGGTTATCATCAGCGTCCCAGGTATCGGCGATTAGTGAAGAGATGGATGCGGCTGCTGCCACAAAGTCAAATGCCCCATCGGTGTCACAAATCTCTGCCATTAGCGCAGAAGTCATCAATGCTATTAACGGGGGTCTTGACGGAGACACGTACCGGTCAGAGCCAGAAGAAGCAGACGACAAGAAACATAATGGTTCTGAGGTGGCTAATGTAGACAAAGCTCTATCAACGACAAAGGAGACCTCGGAACAGCAGAATGGGGAACAGCAGAATGGGGATAATCAACCCCCTAGATTTTCATTTGAAAGCGAGGGAAATAGGCCTGTGGTGGATATCCCGGTTCACGTCTTGGAAGAATTCACGCGGGCTGGTGAGGATGCTCCTGACGAGCCTCCACCACCGTTTCCTGAGCCTGAAGCGGACTATCTGGAGGACAAGAAGGAAGAAACTGAAGAAGCCCCGCCATATGAGTCTACAGCCCCATCCCAGACGACGCATTCTGATGCAAGTGCCGGTCTCGGTATATCAGCAGCACAGCATCCTCCGGCCTCGCAGCCTCCCCAGGATCCTCCCGTTCGTCAACCCGACAAGCCTTTACCAACCAGGCAGAATGGACCTACCTGGAGGCCAATTCCACCTAAGTCTCACTCTCACACGTCCTCAGCTCCATCGCCGGGAAAACCTAGTGGCAAACCTGCTGTCAATGTTCGTCGTTATTATGCAGTTCTCAATCAGCAGGCTCAGCAGCAGCCACGGCAAGAGCAGCGTCGCGAACAGGTCAGTCAAGGCCAAGACAGGCAGCAGAACCGTGCACAAGCAGAAGCGCAAGCGTCTTCCAGTCGTGACGCAGGGCACTTCCCCGGCCACGAACACCGGAGGGGATCTTCGGTGCCGGAGACGACTGCCACGCCGAACAGTTTTCGTGGGACTCTGAGCAGACCAGACACGGACAGTCAGGGAAGTGCCGACAGCATGATAGCCAATGCGGCTACCTCTCGTCTTGATCTGCGCGCAGAGCCGTCCCCATTGAATCAGCACGAAAAATCTTCGCCCTCGAGTTCCCAGCAGCTCAAGAATAAAATCATGAAGATCGGAAAGTTGCCTCGGATGTCGGTTTCGGGGGGCAATGCTGCTTCCGCTGAAGGGAAGAAGATGAGCTCTTTGATCAGCGTAAGTATTGCGATCTTTTGTTTCTGATTTTTCCCGCTGATTTGTACAGGGATTCTCTAAATCCTCACCTAATGGCCACCACGCCAAAGCAGAAAGCCATTCTGAAGGCAAGCGACCGGTCCCTCAGCATAACCCTCCGGCAGGGCAGCCCCAGCATACGCCATATGCAGCACCTTGGAACGGGCAGAGTCAGCAGCCAGCTCCATATTACTACGGCTACAACACCGTCTTGGAACGTGGCCCACCAGTGCAGCAGTATAAGCAGACTCCTCCCCCTGTGAGCAATGGTTCGTTTGCGGGACAGCCTCCACCTCCAGAAGGCTACTACGCTCCCAGGCCTGAATATAGCCCCTATGATCCGTCTTACATTGGCGGGTATTACCAACAGCCGCCCATTCCAGGACCGAGTGTTGCGCCGAATCCGGGGTTCTACTATCAAGCTCCTCCTCCAGCTGTTCCGCCGTCACAGTTCCAATATCAGTATCCGGTTGCTGCTCCACACCAGCCATATACATCTCCTCCCTCTCACGGGCATTCCAGCCCGTCAATGCATTCGGCGCATTCTCCCGCTGGCACGTTCTCGCCACCTTTGCCTCAAAGAGATTCATCCAGCCCGGAGCGTGGTCGCAGCCGGGCAGAGGAGCTCCACATGCGATCGCGGAGCCCGCGGACCTACCTGGGACGAAGGGAGGAGCAGAGTAGTGCCACGACGGACTACTCCGATCCGGCGCACCGGTTGGGCAAGTTCAATGCCGTGCCGGAGACGCCTCGGATCGGGGATCAGGAGCGGCCGTGGAGCATCACCTTGCCCGAGGACCCGGACGAGGGGATCTCGTTCCGTCGGCCGTCGTACCAGGTGCTTCAACAACGTGCTAGACAGGCGGCTGCTGACGATGACGACGATCCTCGCTCGCGACCGCCTGTGCCTGCTAAGGACGTGCCAGCAGGGGGTGCTCCGCGGTCTCAGGCCCAGGCGTCGGGATCCAGTGGCCAGACCTCATCTTCTGCCAACGGGAACCAGCTGCGCTCTGACGCGAACAGCCGGTTGCCTCGTCGGTATGAGGAGGGGACGGTCATCGACAAGACGGTGACGCCGGTGGAGCTGCCTGTGCCGGGGGACGACTCGAGCGAGGAGATTGTTATGTCGAGCACGGCGTATCCGGGGCAGGAGTGGCATCCGGCGGGCTACGAGCACTGGATGCCTTATTAAACCAATATTCTTAATATAGCACATTCCTTATTTGTTTTTTTCTTCTCTTTAGCGTACCAGAGATACCCAATCATTGTTCTGCTTTCCTTCCTTTCTTTTTAGGGTTTATATATGTTTTATCTCTTGCAGGATATATGTCTGTACCTGGGACGGTGTCTTTCCTTATTTTATCTATATATTTTCTCTCTCTCTTATATATAGAGAAATCTTCTGGTTTCATTTCTTGTCTTGCAGTGTATAATATCCGCCCTTATCATGTCATATACAAGTCTTTTCTTTGTATGGACTTGGATGTGTCATAATTGTCATATTGTCATAATTGTCAGTCATAACTGTCATAATTTGTTGATCTGCGAAGTGAATAGATATTCATAATGAATTAATTGTTGTATATTAATCGATTTCATCATCATTCATTCATCAATACGCTGTATATCCCCCGTCAACTATCTGCGATACCGTCAGCAAGCAATCCAACAAACAATTCGTTCGTAACTTGACGCAAAAACAAAATCCAAAACCAAAATGGATAACCTACGATATCAGACCCATTCAAATAACTCGACGCATCCGACGCCATCCACACAACCGTCCCCTGCAGCTCCGACGGATGCGCCATGCGGCCGAGCGGGATGTCCTTGACCCAGGACTGTTCCAGGTCGCGGCCTTGTTTTTCCAAAAGCTCCCGGATGAGGTCCGTTTTCATGTACCCTGGGGAGAGGGTGTTGACACGGATGCCGTGGGGGCCCCATCTGAATCAGTCAGTATGTAGTCGCAGGGGGCTTAGAGAGGGACTTCTTGTGTATCTTCTTGTGTATTCATTCTACTTACTCTGTTGCGAGTGACTTGGCGAGCATGATGACGGCGCCTTTGGACTGTACGACTAGTCAGTGCAGGACATTACAGTTTGCGTATAACATATCATATCGCATCATAATAAAATAAAACTCCAGCCTGGATGTCTGCACTCACCGCATTATAAGCAGCCTGCTTCTGAGGCCTCACACAAATACTCCCCGACATACTCGCAACAAGAATAATCGACCCTTTGATCTTCTTTTCAAGCATATGCTTCCCCGCCTCCCTCGCCCACAGCCACGTCCCGTGCAGATTAACATCCAGCATCCTACGCCATCGCTCATATTCATAGTTCTCCGCCTCGACATTGTCCACGATCCCCGCCGCCGTGACCAGCACGTCGACCTGTCCGAAATCGCGCACGATCTGCGAAAAAGTGGCTTTTACTTGCGATTCTTGCGTTACGTCGCAGGCGTAGGGTTTTAACTCGGGGATTGGCTCAGAGGGTTGTTGCGTTCTGATGTGTTGGCGGATGTGCTCGATGGAGGATTGGGCGGTGGAGGGGGTGAGGTCGACGCATGCTCTGTCGTACAAAAGAAATTGTCAATGGGAATGAAATAGTCTCGTAGAGGGATGGGTTTTTTTTACGCACCCCTTTGCACCCGACAAGGCGAATCCGGTTAGGAATTCTTTTCCTAGGCCTCTTGCGGCGCTGGTCGAGATGTCAAAGTCAATTGCTGTTGCTGTCTGTACTGTAGTGATGTAGTGCTGCAGTGCTTCTTACCCCGTTACTGCAGCAGTCCTGTCAGCACGGACATTCAAGAATAGAGAAATATAATTAATATAGGTATGGCCTTACCAACACAAGTCTTCCCCTCGAGCGAAAAAGCAGGCAGGGTCCTCACGCCACGAGAGCTGCCACTTGTTGACACTGACAGTGGTAGTAAAAGTGGTGATAGGCATGGCCTTCGAGGAGGACAACAAGCTCTGAACAGCGCAGAGGAGCTGCGAGACAAGCTGCTGCTGCTGCGGAGGGATAGCATGGTTGCGGGATGAACCAGAAATACGACACTATTTCAATAAAATATACTTAATATGAGTGTGTATGATACTGCCAGTAGACTTTCCATATAGATAATATCTATCTACTGATCTACTACTATATATACCCATAAACTAACCTCGAACGATCAATACTTTATACCTTATTAGGCGTTTTAACAGCAGCTGCGTTGTACAGCTAAGTTAATAATTAACCGCGAGGTTAGTAAAGGTCACATGGCATGGTGTAGCTCAGTAGATAACCCAATCGGGTAATTGCCATGTAATGCCCTCGCTTGTCCAGAACCTTCTAGCCCGTGGGGGAGAGAGAAACGTGGGGGAATGCGAGATGTGGAAAGTCTGCCGAATGTACTCTACCTAAATAATTAAACCGCTATCTTAGGTTAGGTATATAGGTAGCTAGTGCATAGTGGATTGGCGTACTTCGTAAGGTAGATTTTAGCAACTGACGCGGTTGGCAGGTTGTCCGATACATAGAATAGACCACTCGGAGGACGAGGAATGGGGATGCTGTCACGGGACTTGCCATCAAATGTACAAGTACTCCTGTGAACTCATACGTAGATCACAAGAATTATTGAATATAATATAATACAATGCAGTCAGTAACTTGAGGAGATTAAAGAGATTAATTTTATGCAAGCTGGGAGGATTGCTGATTCTAAAAATATACTCTCTATCTGCAGGTATTTATTTAGTCATTTTTAGTCTTTTATTAACGTTAGTGATTCTTTTTTTTTCTTTTTTCTTTTTCTTTCTTTTTCTCTTTTTCTTTTTTAAATTGGATGATTTTATACTAATTTATTTAGTATGCAAGCTGGGAGGATTGCTGGTTCTAGAAATATCCTATCTATCTGCAGGTATTTATTACTTAGTCTTATATCAACGTTAATGATTATTATTTTTTTTGGATTATTTTATACTCCTAAAATCAATGAGATGGTTAGCCAGCTGCCGGAAACGGCGACATTCGACGCCGTTTTTCGCGTCACTCTAACCGCCCGTTCCCACCACGCCCATCCCCTCTTCCTGCCACGCACCCTCACCCCATCACGTGACCCATTGGCTGCCCCTTAGTGCCTGGCCCAGCCCGCGCTTGCTCGCGCGCGGCTGCTCCCTCGGGACCCGTTCATCCATTTCATCTACTCACCTCACACTCACCCTGCCATT